ACAGTGGACCCCTGCATAACATTGGCATCGCATAGTGTTAAATCCGCATAGCAATACATTTTATCGCTAAAATTTTGCCTCGCATAGTGCTAAAAAATTCGCTCAACGCGATTCGTCCGAGACACGTCCATGCGGCCTGAGCCAGCCTCACTTGTTCTGCCAGTGGCATTGATTACAAGCCAGCCTCCGCGGTAACATTCAAGCATACAATCGGAACATTTCGTATTATTACAGTCTTTTTATAGTGATTTCACCTGAAAAATAAGTGACCATGGGCCCCAAGAAAGCTTCTAGTGCCAACCCTACAGGAATAAGGGTGAGAATTACTATGGAGATGAAGAAAGAGATCATTGCTAAGTATGAAAGTGGAGTGCGTGTCTCCGAGCTGGCCAGGTTGTATAGTAAACCTCAATCAACCATCGCTTCTATTGTGTCCAAGAGAACGGCAATCAAGGAAGCTGTTCTTGCCAAAGGTTTAACTGTGCTTTCGAAACAGATCGCAAGTGATAGAAGATGTCGAGAGACTGTTATTGGTGTGGATAAACGAAAAACAGATAGCAGGCGATAGCATCTCTCAAGTGATCATAAGTGAAAAGGCTAGGAAGTTGCACGAGGATTTAATTAGAAAAATGCCTGCAACTAGTGGTGATGTGAGTGAATTTAAGGCCAGCAAAGGATGGTTTGAGAGATTTAAGAGGCGTAGTGGCATACATAGTGTGATAAGGCATGGTGAGGCTGCCAGTTCGGACCAAAAAGCAGCTGAAAAATATGTGCATGAATTCAAGGAGTACATAAGACAGTGAGGACTGAAACCTAAAACAAGTGGTTTGTGACGAAACAGGCCTGTTTTGGAAAAAAATGCCAAGCAGGACCTACATTACTCAGGAGAAAAGGTACTCCAGGACATAAGCCTATGAAAGACGGCTTACTCTTCTCATGTGTGCCAAATTTGCTAGTGGTGATTGCAAAATGAAGCCTTTATTAGTGTATCACTCTGAAACTCCCAGAGCATTCAGGCAAAAGAATATCCTCAAGGCTAATTTGTGTGTGCTGTGGAGGGCAAACAATAAGGCATGGGCCACTAGGGACTTTTTCTATGACTGGTTACACCAAGCATTTGCCCCCCACTGTGAAAAATTACCTAACTGAAAAGAAATTAGACCTTAAGTGCCTCCTGGTGTTAGACAATGCCCCTGGTCATCCTACAGACTTGGCAGAGTGACTTTGTGGGGACATGAGCTTCATTAAGGTGAAGTTTTTGCCTCTCCTGCAGCCCATGGACCAGCAGGTTATTGCAAACTTCAAAAAACTGTACACAAAAGCTCTGTTTGAAAGGTGCTTTGTAGTGACCTCAGAAACTCAATTGACTCTAAGAGAGTTTTGGTGATAGCACTTTAATATCCTCAATTGTGTAAACCTTATAGGTAAGGCTTGGGAGGAAGTGACTAAGAGGACCTTGAACTCTGCTTGGAAGAAACTGTGGCCAGAATGTGTAGACCAAAGGGATTTTGAAGGGTTTGAGGCTAACCCTGAGAATCCTATGCCAGTTGAGGAAACAATTGTGGCACTGGGGAAGTCCTTGGGGTTGGAGGTTAGTGGGGAGGATGTGGAAGAGTTGGTGGAGGAGGACAATGAAGAACTAACCACCGATGAGCTGCTAGATCAACTTCAACAGCAAGAGGCCACACCTGAGGAAATTGCTTCGGAGGGGAAAGAGAAATTGAAGAAGTTGCCTACTTCAAAGATTAAGGAAATCTGTGCAAGTGGCTTGAAGTGCAAACCTTCATGGATGAAAATCACCTCAGAAGCTATTGCAAGCCGTGCTGGTGACTATTACACTGACACTGTTGTGAAACACTTTAGGAAAGTCATAAAGGTACGAGAGGTACAGGCCACTATGGACAGATATGTTGTGCGACAGAGGTCCAGTGACTTTGAAGCTGGTCCTAGTGGCATTAAAAGAAGAAGGGAAGCAACTCTGGAAAAGGACTTGACACCTCAAGTCCTAATGGAAGGGGATTCCCCTTCTAAACACTAAAACCATCCAGTCTCCCCTCCTCCCATCCCATCAATCATCACCACATCTTCAATAAAGGTAAGTGTCATGTAACTGTGCATGTTTTCTTAAGTTTGTGTGTATTAAAATTAATATTTCATGTGGTAAAATTTTTTTTTTTCATACTTTTGGGTGTCTTGCACGGATTAATTTGATTTCCATTATTTCTCATGGGGAAAATTAATTCGCATAACGATAATTTCACATAACATTGAGCTCTCAGGAACGGATTAATAGCGTTATGCGGGGGGTCCACTGTATAACAAAAAAGAAAAAATGTAGATAAAAGTTTTTTACACATTTTCAAATGTAAAAAAAAAAAAAGATGATGTACATTTTTTACATACTTTCAAATGTTGAAAAAATGTATATATACATTTGGACTGTTTAAGGGTTAATAGAATGAGAGACTCAGCAGGGAGTGTAGTATAAAATTAATGAAATGCAGGAGTCATATACATAATTATAACGCTGTGTAAACATCCAAGGTCTATGACTCTCAACCTTCTAGTACCAGATACATGAAATATTACAGAAACATGGGCAAAGTTCTCAAAGCGAAACTGAATTGCTAACTGCTCAAAGGGCCTAAATCAACAAAATTTTGATAGCTATATACAAATTTTTTTGAAAATAAGAAAAAGTTTTGGAGTGAGATTAACAAGTTAAGAAAGCCTAGAGAACAAATTGATTTGTCAGTTAAAAATAGGAGAGGAGAGTTATTAAATGGAGAGTTAGAGGTATTGGGAAGATGGAAGGAATATTTTGAGGAATTGTTAAATGTTGATGAAGATAGGGAAGCTGTGATTTCGTGTATAGGGCAAGGAGGAATAACATCTTGTAGGAGTGAGGAAGAGCCAGTTGTGAGTGTGGGGGAAGTTCGTGAGGCAGTAGGTAAAATGAAAGGGGGTAAGGCAGCCGGGATTGATGGGATAAAGATAGAAATGTTAAAAGCAGGTGGGGATATAGTTTTGGAGTGGTTGGTGCAATTATTTAATAAATGTATGGAAGAGGGTAAGGTACCTAGGGATTGGCAGAGAGCATGCATAGTTCCTTTGTATAAAGGCAAAGGGGATAAAAGAGAGTGCAAAAATTATAGGGGGATAAGTCTGTTGAGTGTACCTGGTAAAGTGTATGGTAGAGTTATAATTGAAAGAATTAAGAGTAAGACGGAGAATAGGATAGCAGATGAACAAGGAGGCTTTAGGAAAGGTAGGGGGTGTGTGGACCAGGTGTTTACAGTGAAACATATAAGTGAACAGTATTTAGATAAGGCTAAAGAGGTCTTTGTGGCATTTATGGATTTGGAAAAGGCGTATGACAGGGTGGATAGGGGGGCAATGTGGCAGATGTTGCAAGTGTATGGTGTAGGAGGTAGGTTACTGAAAGCAGTGAAGAGTTTTTACGAGGATAGTGAGGCTCAAGTTAGAGTATGTAGGAAAGAGGGAAATTTTTTTTCCCAGTAAAAGTAGGCCTTAGACAAGGATGTGTGATGTCACCGTGGTTGTTTAATATATTTATAGATGGGGTTGTAAGAGAAGTAAATGCGAGGGTCTTGGCAAGAGGCGTGGAGTTAAAAGATAAAGAATCACACACAAAGTGGGAGTTGTCACAGCTGCTCTTTGCTGATGACACTGTGCTCTTGGGAGATTCTGAAGAGAAGTTGCAGAGATTGGTGGATGAATTTGGTAGGGGGTGCAAAAGAAGAAAATTAAAGGTGAATACAGGAAAGAGTAAGGTTATGAGGATAACAAAAAGATTAGGTGATGAAAGATTGAATATCAGATTGGAGGGAGAGAGTATGGAGGAGGTGAACGTATTCAGATATTTGGGAGTGGACGTGTCAGCGGATGGGTCTATGAAAGATGAGGTGAATCATAGAATTGATGAGGGAAAAAGAGTGAGTGGTGCACTTAGGAGTCTGTGGAGACAAAGAACTTTGTCCTTGGAGGCAAAGAGGGGAATGTATGAGAGTATAGTTTTACCAACGCTCTTATATGGGTGTGAAGCGTGGGTGATGAATGTTGCAGCGAGGAGAAGGCTGGAGGCAGTGGAGATGTCATGTCTGAGGGCAATGTGTGGTGTGAATATAATGCAGAGAATTCGTAGTTTGGAAGTTAGGAGGAGGTGCGGGATTACCAAAACTGTTGTCCAGAGGGCTGAGGAAGGGTTGTTGAGGTGGTTCGGACATGTAGAGAGAATGGAGCGAAACAGAATGACTTCAAGAGTGTATCAGTCTGTAGTGGAAGGAAGGCGGGGTAGGGGTCGGCCTAGGAAGGGTTGGAGGGAGGGGGGTAAAGGAGGTTTTGTGTGCGAGGGGCTTGGACTTCCAGCAGGCATGCGTGAGCGTGTTTGATAGGAGTGAATGGAGACAAATGGTTTTTAATACTTGACGTGCTGTTGGAGTGTGAGCAAAGTAACATTTATGAAGGGATTCAGGGAAACCGGCAGGCCGGACTTGAGTTCTGGAGATGGGAAGTACAGTGCCTGCACTCTGAAGGAGGGGTGTTAATGTTGCAGTTTTAAAAACTGTAGTGTAAAGCACCCTTCTGGCAAGACAGTGATGGAGTGAATGATGGTGAAAGTTTTTCTTTTTCGGGCCACCCTGCCTTGGTGGGAATCGGCTGGTGTGATAATAAATAAAAAAATAAAATACATGTGTGTGTGTGTTGTTGTTGTTGTTAGCTTGATCAACCAGGCAGTCAGCAAATCATCATCTCTGGCTAAACTGCAAGGCTGACCACAGGTATGTCTTGCAATTCCTGCCAGGATTTCATTATTGATGTTAAATACCATTACTGCAGAAACCATCGAGGGTTTTTCAGTTACTTCAAATTCCATTTCATTGAGACTGCCTACTTATCACTATTTATTACCAAACAGGAATTTTATTATCTGCCAATTTTATCACTGTATAAACTGACATTACTTAATTTTTCCACAGACTTATCTTTGGGTGATGAACACAGAAGAAGATTTTCGCAAGGCCTTCGAAACTGGAGCCACTGGTGTTATGACAGACTATCCCACCAAACTGAAAGCATTCCTGGAGCAAAACCCACAGTATTGTAATGATCAAAAACTAAGCTAAATGTAGCTGTAGTCAAATTATAACATAAATAGCTGACCACCTAAGGGTTTTAGGGTTTAATGAAAAAAAAAATTCCTTGTGATGCATTAAGTTATAAGGGGAACTGACGGGTATGGGCAGTATGGTTCATATCATTTATCCACTCTAATCATCCCTGTAATATACAGTAATTTAAATTCTTCAAAAGACTCAAACTTTTTTTTATTTGGTTCCTTGCTCCTAATTACTGGGTGCTTACATTATTTAAATTAAAACAGAAAATCAGCCTAGATGATTCTTATGAAATTTTTAAGCAGAAAAAAATATTTGATTAAATAAAATACCACAGATGGGTTTTTATGCAATACTGTATATATGAACACATTTTAGGAGCACCCACTCGGAGCAGTGAATCGGTGTACAGACTTGTATTCAGATTATTATAGAGAGATTTTTTGCAAATTTAGATTTGCTAGGTGCATGTTAGCACTGCTATAAATTATGAAATAAAATGCTCAAATATGTTACTGATCTTAGTAAAAATTTAAGTTGAGAAAAGGGACTTCATTAAAAAATACTGGTCTAATTGATTTATCAGCAGAGTGGCTTTTAGGTTCAACACTTATTAATATGTAAATTGAAGAAGAGAAATCTGTCTTTTATTTTTATATATTGTAAATATGTATTGTGTTACATTCACATAAGAATTATAAAAATCTATTACCCTGATATTTTTCATTACAGTTTATGAATTTTATTAAAAGCCAGTATTTATATTTAATCCATACTAATACAGATGAAATTTCATCATTTATTTTTTGTAGTAATTTTTCAAAATTAGTGTATATGCTCCAGACTCCAAATAATAAATTTAGGACATTCTAATATTTGAAAGTAAATCATGAGCCACATTTAGTTTTTGCTTTTGAGAGTAGAAATGCTATAATCTGTGACTAAGTACGTACACACCTTAATCTAAAGTAGCTCTTCGATTCTCTTAGCACGCAACAAATTTAGATGAGGTTTTCCTCCTTTTAATTCAGAATATATTTTATGCCCAATTACTAAATCCTAGTATTGTAATTTTTGCATTCATTTAAACAAAAAAGAAATGTTAATTACAAACAGAATCATTGTATCTCACTATGGAGAGGATTTAAGCTCATGTTGTTGAGATGCTCTTTATTCTCAGATTTTAAATCAAGCTCTCACTACCAAGTACAGTGTACTCTTTACACTCCAGTGTACACAAAGGTCTTAAAACCATCTTGCTGTAAAAAGGATACACACTTATGGCAAGGAAATGCTCTCTAGTCTTAAACTCAGTCAAGCTCTCACTCATAAGTATACTCAAGCATAGGTCGAGGTCTTATGTTTTTTAGGCAAGTAGGTCAATACACTTTCATAATATTTTTGAAGGGTTGAAATCCAAACATGTTTTCTGTAACCTACTGGTCAGGTACATCAGTAGCAAAACTGTGACCATATTCCACTTTGCACACATACATAAACTTGAACACACTTGATAGTAGACTTGCAGTGCTAACCTCCTCTGTCATTGTGTTAATAGTACACCAGCTGACCATTGCAGCATACACTAACTATTACTTCATCATATACCAGTGCCCACAGAGATTGGGTTTCACTTTATCGGCCATCTCCCACCAGGTAGGGTGACCCAACAAAGAAGAGAACACTTTCAGTGTCACTTGCCAGAAGGGCATTGACATCACAGTTCAGATGACCATATATTTTAATTTTGGGTCACCTTTCATGAAAGAAAACATTTGATTGAGAGATAACATTTTTTGTAGCACAAAAAAGTGTGCAGAAATTTTTAAGAGGAAACTGGATCACTACAGCCACGAAGTGCCTTATAAGCCAGGCTGTGATGGATGTGTGGGCCAGTGGGCCATCAACTGCAACAATCTGGATGAACACGTAACACTGGTCTACAGCAAAATTGGCTCTATTGATAAAGATATGGACTCATCCTTCCTTGAGACAGAGGACATGGAGGATGAGGGAACCTTCAAAAGTTGAAAGTCTTCAACTTCACAAGATCGTGTGTGTGTTCATAACTTAACAGTAATGAACATGGTGAACATTTCCACCAGGACATCTCAGTGGAGAAATACTACCAGGGAAAATGAAATCAATCATTGTTAGCAGATACTGCTGGACAATAACAAGAAATGCTCCAGAAGCAAAATATATGAAATAAGCAAAGAAGCATCTGTTGTATCAATACAAGTGAATTCATTGTACAGATATGTTACTAATATAATGTATGCAGAATGCATAAATTTCTTTGGAAACTTAAGCCAATCCATTGTTATCATGGTCATATTAATTTTCAGCACCCCAAAATCTTAGTGATATACCCTTTTTCTCAGAAGCACAAAACCATTTAAAACTTATAGACCAGTGTAATCAACAGTTTCAGGCCAGGCTCTGAGGGTAGAACAACTCTCAAAAATTATCACAAGTCAAACAGCACACTTGACCTTAATACACTAACCCAGTACCAACACTAAAAGTTGGTTTTCACTCCATTTTATGATTTTTCACATCGGGTGTAAGGGGATCCACTGCTGTGGTGAAGGGACTCTTGATCTGAGGTACTGAACTTCCTGTCCCCCCCTTCTTTTAGACTGAATCTAGATACCCCCAACCCCTCCCTCCTTGTCATTTGGCACCATTGATCGATAAAATTTCCTCGTTTTTGTGAAATCAGCCTTGTTCTAACTTGGCTTTTGTTGCTGGTGCTGCAGTGGCCTTGTCACTTCACCCAGTTGAAGCAATTATATTATGACATGTCAGCTGTCACTCCAGGGAGACATCAAGAAGTCATCTGGCAGGGCCTCTGATAGAAATATTACCAGAGGTTTCCTGCAGTTCCAGGAATGGCAACTGAAGGTTTACAACTCCTGACTTTCATTCCTGTTTGCCCACCCACGGTTTGTGCTCTGATCTAATCCAGCATTTTTGATAAGCAAAGCTCAGTTAATTTGAAAGTGCCATCCTAGTGTTGTGCACCAGGTAGTGTAAAAGGCACTATCTAGGGAATAATGCCAGAGTCAGTTTCCTAGACCTGACTCCACAGAAGGCCATAATTTACCACAGCCTTCATTTATAGTTGACTGGGGCACATTGTCTCATCATGCTTGTGTACAATGGTGTACCTGCAATGAGTAAAGTATGCCAAAACTTTGGCACAACAGTCTTAGAACTATCATTCACTGCTATGATAGATTTTCCATGATCCTGCAGGTGTAGTGGCGCATAAATGCCTTAATTCTTCGATCCAGTGGTTGTACAAAGGTGTCTTATTGGGTGGTGAAAAACCTTCACATTTGAATTGAAAGGCTGCAAGATTTCTAGATATTATAGGAATTATCAAGTCAGTACCACCTTAAATGAAAGGTGTTTTGTGGCCAGGTAGATCTTCATTGCAGGAATAAAGTAATGCTTTAACTATTCAACAAACAGGACCTCGGTCATCTAGACTTCCTAGTTAGACATTCAAATAATAGGCATACTGGTTTTGTCTTGTCCTTTTAAAGCATGGGGAATCTGTAAGCAATAAATTAGCAGTCATGCACTTTAATTACTTGTTGCATTAGTGGACAGAATCAAGTTGAACTTACTCTCTGTTGCCATTAACCCAGGTGCAAATATTTCTTGCTTGTTAATAAGATCTTGACAGCATTTTCCTCCATGCTGATTTTTTCACACTTTATAGCCCAAATTATCTGGGGCTCTACCACTTAAATAATTTTATGTAGAAAGTTTCCAACAGTTTTATTAAAATCATGTTGGCTGGTTTTGTGTTATCTAGGAGTTTATTGTACATACCTAGTTGATCATGTTAGACAAGAATTTTTGACCTCCATCAGCTCTCTCTTTCAACACTTTAAAAAGTGGTATTTTCTTCAAAGTAAATGACATCAGCAAAGCTGAAAAACTATTGCACCTAGATGCTAATGGCAGCACTGCAGTTCAGACACACCAACACTCCACCCTCAACCCATCTCATGTGACCATTGATAAATCTCCCACGAAAGTAGAGACTTTCACACACTGTGCCCCAAATAAACCAAAAAAAAAAATTTTCCTCTCCAATCACCAGTGGAAACAAATCTTTCCAGCCAGAGGACAAAGAAGATATCCATGAAGTAGAGCTAAATTAACATTCAACTGCCTTGTATTTCCAACCTCAGTCTGCATAGCAGGTCATCATCTGACAGCAAGAACTGAAGCTAACTCACTTTGCCAGAGTGCTGGTGCTACAGCCACACAACACAATATTGTCGATTACAGAAGCGTGCCTAGTTTAGAGAAGCAGATAACAATCCATCTTATCTAAACTGCAACAGCACACTTTCCTCATTTTGATCAGTGCCCAGTTTTTTCCTCAAAGATACAACATTTAAGAAAAAAGCTCATCATATCAAGCCAAGACTGCTATGCTAGCAAGGTTAACTATCTCTTACACCAGAGCAATTGGGCCCCCCTCAACACCCAGGACCATTCCTACATATTTCTTTTAAGAATGGACTGCCTTGGGGTGATGCTCCTCAGAACCATTAACAAGTATAACATACATGAGCTCGACCTATACTCTAGTATACATATTAATAGAAGCAAAGATATTGAACAAAAACAATGCTATTGACACAGTCATGATTGTGATTAATTGTTGTAAAGACCAAGTTTTTTTTCAGTCAGGAGTGTTATTTATTAGTTATATTAATCATTATAATATTGGAATACAGTGTATCTTAGTACGTACTATTCTTTGGAATAAATATTTGTAAATGCCAGTATTAACTGTGAATGAAAATTAATTACAACAGTACACCAGCAAGCTATCTTTGGTGTGTGTACATAAAATTTAACTTCAAAACATTTTGTTTGGCACTGATACTGTATGAAGAAAAGATGCAGGTGCAGAACAAGCTTTTATAACAATGCTTCATTCTGTATGGAGCTTAATCAAGTTAAAGCTCTTTATAAAGCAAAAATAGTCACACTAATAGCTTGTTACTCACCTGGCTCTTACTGTCAGCTGTATGACAGGTTTGATTTTGGCCAAAATCTTTCCACACACAGTATATTGCTGAGATTTATTCCAAAGAATATATTTCTGGGACTGCTGACTCCCAATGAAGCCCTGCATACACATGCAAGGCTTTAAGATCAGCAGAAAACAGCACAGTACAACTTACTCTTTAACAAATTAACAATAAACACTTGCACAGCCATTGGTAACTCTCAGCCACACCTTCCCTATTCATGGTGCCTTGCAAGTGCATGTAATATACTGAATACTCAGTTCCAAGGTGGATACACACAAAATAGATGCTTCAGTCAGTGGTGGATTAAGAGTAAGTGGAACCCTGGGGGCAACACCTGTACTGTATATGCAATACATTTATATTCTAAAATATTACCATGCTTTAATTACTGAAAATTATGTATTAAAAAAAATACACAAATCAGTTTGAAATTATGAACCACAGTTTTATTCCATTAAGCAATTTTTAATACAAAATAGTCTTAGCCCCCCCCCCTTTCCATACCAGGGAGGGCCTTTCAGCAAGTTTCCCTTTGCACTTATGTTAATCCGCTACAGGCTTCAGCGCTTTGAGGCAGTTGTAAGAAACACTGACCATCAACCCTATCAAGACTGCACAAAATGCCCAGATAATGCTTCATCACTTTTGGTTGTCTATAATAGAACTTTGCAAGTAAATGGCCACTTTAATGCTGCTTACTTTAGAGGGTAGACTGGCCTTTAGCAACATGTGACGTCAAATTGATATTACGTATCTTGGCACCTTGACCATATTGGTATGCAGCAATATGTCATTTAGTTATCAAAACAATTTTCATGTATTGTTGAAGGACACACTTTAGAAATATGTTCCTCTTGGAATCATAATTGATTGTACTGTATGTTTAACAGCAAATGTCCTGTAAATTCTTAAACCATTTGTAATTTATGGGCAATATTCTGATCCCAATTTATTGCAAATACTCTTTTTACAAGTGACCTTTGTTATGGTATACCAAATGTGAACTTTTAAATCATTGACCTTTGTTACACTAAATGTGATATTTTTATTTATGACCACTACATGTTAAAAGAGAGAAAGCATGTTTAATGCAGATATTAGCAAGAGTACTCAAGTATTCTTTGAAGGAAGTTTCAATTCAGGTGAAATTCCAAAGGCCTTAAAAAGAGCTGACATAGCCCCACTTCAGAAAAGGAGCAGCAAAGCAATAGCAAAAAAACTAGACCAGTAGAACTAACATCACATTAAAAGAAAAAATCTTGATAAAGGTGCTGAGACAAAACTGACTTAATAGAAAAATGAGCTAAATAACCCTAATTAACAGGACTTTAGAGCAGGAAACTCTTGCCTAACACAACTATAAAATGACCATGAAAAAGTACAGTCTTTGGGAGGGGGGAAAAAACTGGTGTAATCTGCATGGGTTTTCAAAAGCATTTGACAAGTGAGACCATGGAGTAATAGCTCACAAGTAGGGAAAATGATATTAAAAATTAGTAGTAAACTAAAAGAACAGTCTCAACAAAGCAAAAAGTTTAGTACCCCAAGGCATGATCCAAACACCATTACAGTTTCTCATCCTCATAGAGAGGTAAGAATACTAATCAGAACTTCATATTAGCCTTTGTGGAGGCTTTCAAAAGTATGAACATCACCTCAGATCAAACAAAAATTTATGTCAACAGTCTTCCAATGGGCAAGTATGAATAACATCGTCAGTGGTGATAAATTTCAACTACATTGGTATGAGAAGAATGAACTCAAACTAGCGCAGTATACAGAATGCTGGCAAACCATTTCATAGAACTAAAGAAACAGGTAAAATACTTTAAAATAATTATGTCAGAATCTCTCATTTGGAAAACATAAGAATAATTGTCAAGAGAATGTCATTTGGAGAATGTATTAAGACAAATGCAGTAAAGGCAAGGAAAACAAAAAGATGAATTATGAGAGCTTTCAAAACAGCTTTTCAAGGCAGAAGGTAGAGTTGGAATATGCACAGAGGCTGTCTACTTTCCTTATAGAATCAACAAAACATATAAACTATTGGGAGCGGCTCCAGGCATTTATGTTGTCCTCCGTAAATGAGAAGAAATCCCTCATAATACATACATGGAAGATACTCAAAGGCTTGGTTCTTAACCTACACACTGTTGTAACAGTTCACTGGAGTGAAAGATATGGGAAAAAGTAAGTATTGAATAAACTCAGTGAAGAGCAAGGAAGGATGCGGGTACAATTAGAGCACTGAGTATGTTTGAACTGAGCCTCCACCATACTACCAGCAGATATCAGAAGTACTCCTGGAATGAAGACACAAGTTTTCAAGAAGATGGGCAGCTTCCTATTAAAAGTACCATATAAGCCAGGTTGTGATGGCTATGTGGGTCTCTAGCACAAACAGCCTGGTTGACCAGGCAGTCAACAGGGAAACCCGGTCTCAGTCCAGGCTGCGAGGGTAAATGAGCCCTCAAAACTGGTCACAAGTAAAATATGTATGACAGGACATTTGACAACAAACGGTATAAAGTATAATGAATTATTTTTTATATTTTGTAATTGTATACAAAAATATATGTACACACTTCAGAAGTTTGTACTTTTTTAGTCATTCTACTTTTAGCAGTACACCTTCATACATTTGTTCCAGCACTCACTTGTATTAGCTGCACAACTTGCCATACACACCATGTCTTTTTCTTAAATCATTACTCTTCTTAAACTTCAGACAATTCAGTAGTTTCTCAGATCTTTCTAGTTTCCAAAACACAGCCTTAACTAAGATTCCTACCTATTTTTTAATACAGGTTTAAAAATCATCTTAAGTTTTGTATCTACACCCCTTACTAAGCTTTACATATTTACTAGTTATGCAAGTCTTTCAGATCTTAGTTTACAATCTACTATCCTTCAGCTGTCTATCAGCTTTACAACATTCCCAGATAAGTGAGTGGAACAGGTGCTCAAGCATCACAAATTTCGTCCATGTGCAGCATTAGGGTTTGTGTCCTTGACTAGCTTAAGTTTTTAATTAAACAGGGAATATGAATATTCCTTTATTTACTCATTAAGGTGCTGTATGACCTTTGCAGTTTCAGCACTTCCCCAGGAATACAGTATTTATTTATATGGGACATTCCTCTCCTATCCCTCTTCTTGTTATTTGTGTACTGTACCTATATTAAAATTATTGTCCCACTGCCTAAAATAGTTTCTGCTTGTGCAGGAATCCCATCCACTCATCATCATTTTTCAAGCACAGCCAATTTTTACACTCATTCTCAGATAGAATCACTGTCCATTCATTTTGTCCTGTGCTTTTTGCATATCCATCTTCACTTGTTTATATTTTTATCTCCATTTGTGAATATTATTAAACATTGTAAATAAAATAGAACACTTAATGCTTTGTTTTAATGTAATTCTTTAAAATTCCTCAGTGTATTGGCATAAAGTTATACAGTACGTATAAGAAAATTTAACACTGTATAAATAAAGTACTAATTCTTTAATCACCACACCCAAATTAATATCACATGCATTCCTAACAATAATCAGTATAAGATTTTTTAATATAAACAGTAATAATTTAAAAAAATTATGGTAAAATGTAATGCTGAGCGACTAGGGTAACTTAACGTTTCGTGCTTGGCTTTAAGACTAAGGTTTAATTGTAATAAGGCTATTTTGCAAAAAAAAAATAAGGGATAGTGGCTTGGAAAGATTTAGGCTTATTCAAACAATAGTTAATTAAGTACAGGTCCTCCCACCCCTCAATGGTACCATTTCTAGCACTACTATATGTGCAATATACATTAACCTTGTGAAAAATGAGATTCACAAATGTAACGAAAATTTTTGTTATATAAAGTTTAATGTTAATGGCCTAAATGAGCTTAGTTCAGCTGGCTTGGGCCTCTAACACTAATGTTGTATGAAGTAAGGGACACCAGTCCACTAGTTTACATGTGTTCGGGGCAATGAAAATGTGTGACTTAAGATGAACACAGTTAAGGTAGTAGTAGCAGTCTTGTGAGATAACCTAGGTAAACAGGGTTGCTCTTCCTCCCCTCACTACTTAAAAAAGAGTATGTATGCCCTTATAACCCTCCCTTCAGATTAAAGTATCAAAACATTGACCACTTAAGACATGATTATAATACTGTACGGTACCACTAAATACTTATTAATAGTATACATCATGGGTTAAAATAAACTACTTTGATATTTGCTTTGAAAAATACAGACTTACACTCTAATGACAATTGTCTTGTAAATTCTTATTCAGGGAAACAACGAGAAGATTACCTAGACAGTCACGAAGATATATAGTCTTGCCTAGTCACCTAGCTGAAGTTGTCTTCTTTGAAGTACTCATCTTGGGAGGCTATACACTGATCCCAGTGCCTCTGCTACTTTCCTTTCCAAACTGTGTCTAGCATAGCCTGCAATTTTGCTCAAATTTTGTCATTAGTGCTGCCCCCCTGGTATCATTTTACTTATCCCAATTGGGAAGACAGAGTGAAAAGGTTGGAGGAACTTCGGAGTCATACCACTTAGGCAAACACAAGTTTAGGAACTGCAAGGTTCAACTATCTAATGCATGAACAGAAATAAGAGAAAGTACTATGTGGTGTTATGTAAAAAATAATCCTGATAAAGAAGTTGCTAGTGTTAAACTAGCTGCCAATCTACTTAAAAGATACTGATGAGGGAATAAAGAGCGATATAAGAAAATGATTGACACTAAAATAGATCATCAAATAATTTCTGATGTGGGTACTAGAAGACTACTGGACATTGTGGTCGGAGGAGTGGCAGATGCACTTTACTGCAGACAAGTGTAAGGGTTCTTATAATGATAGGAAAAGAAAATAACTATAAAACTCATAAGCTAAACAGCATAGATCTTAATTAAAGCCAGCAGAAAGATTTAGGCTTCAGGTTATCAGAAATTTAGAGCAAAGATAAGCGTGCATAAGTGTTCACATTAAAGCTAATAGAATTCTTGTCTTCATTCAAGAAGTATAAATAATGAAAGTTATAGCGTTATACTTCAACTTATATCTTTGGTTAAGCCTCATTTAGATTATACTACTCAGTGCTGGTCTCCATATTACAGAATCAGCACAAGTGCACTCAAAAATAAACAAGAGAATGAAGTCTAGTCCTTGGACTAGAAACCTTCCCTACAAAAATAGAACAAAGAGAAACTTGCACTCTCCAGAAAGGAATAGAATTATGGAGGATATGACTGAAGTAAATAAATGAAAAGCAGCAATAAAGGGGATATAAACCAAAACATGACTCAATGCAATGAAATTAAGGTAGAGATATTTAGATTTAGTAAGGATATTGGGATGTACTGGTTTGGCAGTAGAGTTGTAGATACGTGGAACAAACTCCCAGCCTGGTCCCAAGTAACGTCATTGAGGCAAGAACTTTTGGTAGCTTTAAATACGTATAGGTTGGACAGGCAAATGAGTGAGTGAGGGTGGGTGTGAATTGGACCTGCCAAGCATGGGCCAATAGGCTTGTTGCAGAGTTCCTTCATTTTTATGTTCCTAAATATGGTAGGGCTTTCAATACACAAAAAGTTTGCTCTACAATAAATAGAGTTTGGGTACAAAAATTTATTTGGTAATTTGTCAGAACCCATCACTCATATTTTGATAGCATATGTCAATATATTTATCAAAAATAAAAATAATGCATTTTTCATTTTCAGCTTGATACTGGTGAGGGGCTCTTCATCTAGGGAACTTGATCTGTGCTCCAGTTTCCTGAATTAAGCCTGAATACCTTCCAATCCCCCCCCCCCATTGGCACTGTATAATCCTATGGGTTTAGCGCTTCCCCCTTGATTATAATAATAATTCTGTGTCAGCTCATAAAAATTAAAGTTTCTCTACAGAGATGTACCAAAATATATGGATCATCCACCCTTACACCTAATGGCCATATACAATGAAATTTATAGCATGTGTAAATGATAATGCAGTAAGAGAAAAATAATATATTAAATGATCAATTATGGGGAAAAAAGTGGGATTATAATATAAACTCGAGAATTAAGGGGTTAGAACAGAGGAGGAAGGCAAGAAGTGGACAATCTTACAGTGTGGTAGTCCCTGAGCAATGCTCATGCTCTTCATTACTTAGGATGGGATCCATCTCATTTTGAGAGAGATCCCCCAGCTGTCTCCCCCGGGGAGGTGTGGCCCGGCTGTCTCCCCCAGGGAGGTGTGGCTCGGCTGTCTCCCCCGGGGAGGTGTGGCTCGGCTGTCTCTCTGGAAGATATCGCTCAGCAGTTTCCTGTTTCCAGCTATCACCACATACACGGCAGAAAATTAATTTTTAAGTATGAAAAAACGACTGAAGGGATCCTCGGGAAGACCTTCCCCTCTATTTCCAGCTTTTTTAGCCAGATGCAGCCTAAATTGAGGTGGGTGATATTCGCCTCTTACGTACTCCATTTGGATAACGGCCAATAAAAATAAGGGAATGAAACTTAAAAGAGCATCTCGCATATTTCTGGGCTGCTAAAACGTAGCTTTGTGGACTTCCCAAGGTTCACAACTGCCAGTCCACCAAGCTTTTATTTTTTTTTTTTTGCCTCGTTTAATACCTGATACCGTCCTTTGTATTCCCGCCAGAGTCCTGTGTATAAGGAGGAAAGCATTTCATTAGATACCTCGATGCCGGTGATGGGCTTTTGATCCAATGAATTCTAACTACCCCTGATCGTGTCTGATTGCCTTCCATTCCCCTCTACAGATTAGTGCATTCCCCCTACCCCCCATGAATTCAAAAAAGCACAATGCGAGTCGCTATCAGAGAGAAGGTATTTTAATATAGACAGGCTAAATCTTATCTCCAGCAAGAGTTTCTTGCAAGACTACTACCCCGACCCTCCCATGCCAGCCCTCGACTCCTCTGATCCTGTGTACCACCATTATTTCGGGCACACACATAAGTGGTTAGAGCCTGAGGAATTGAGGATAATCAAGTTTGGTCCAGGGAACCGTACCAAGAGCTCTTCACCAACAAGACGTTTTCTAGTGAATGTCTAAATTTGTTGGCACATATCATTCCTCAAGTTGCCGGTATCATATGCCTAGTTTTTACTATGTAAACTGTATTTTTTTTTTTTTTTTTTTTTTAAGGCAAATTAGCTTTTCTGGGCCCTTTCAACATATGACGTGTGATACACGAGTTACATTTTTTTTAACCATTGCTTTTTTGTTCCCATGGTGAAAAGGATTATTTATGCACTTTTCAAAGTCTCTGGGATGTCATTCTAAAATAATCCTCTCCATAGTGTTTAGCTTTTCTTTATAAATACTGTGTTCCAGGAATCGTGCCTAGGTGCTTCACGCGGGTACGTTTATTTCATAATGTAATTAAGATATGATAAGCCATGTAAATCATACGAGATGCAATAAGAGGGTTAACATTATATGGCACTGAAGCCCCTCGAGTGCTTAATAAGCTATATTAATATTTTCCTAAGTAATTCTGGAATGTGTCAGTTATTATTCATGCTTATTCTCTGCTCATGTATATTACTGTAATATAATGACTTAGCTTATGACGGCCTACCTAGTAACCTGAGGAAATTTATAAATGCGGTGACCTCCCCCTCCCTCAGAGCAGGAGTTTATAAATGTGACGGCCTCTGGTTGTAAGGACAATCTTCAATACACAACACAGAATTTAATTCATATGCAAAATATCTCAATTTCTCTCATGTCTCTTAATATCCTAAATATTAACTAGTTAGTTTTGATAGGAAATCATGCGTAATAACCCCCGGGAAGAGCGACAACACTACACACATAAATGGCCGCTTACTATGTTACAGTAATGACACTTACCTGAGTGATGCCCAGCGATATTTTATGGGTCACTTGCTTTCATCTAGTGTTGTTTGTAGACGATTCAACTGACTAAGGAATTCACTGCTCACCAGTCGTGGGAGATACTTTGCTCTGAGGAATACATATTCTTGCTTTCCCGTTAGTGTACAATGCGACCCTCCCCCCCTCACCCCTCTCAAGAGTTGGTTAATTAATTGGGTGAAGGTTAATGAACACGAGGGTCACTAATTAATGTTGCACCTTACATCTTAACCACCAGTCTAGGCATCTTTTATCCCTAAAATAGTTATTAAAGGAAGCTCAAAGCCTACATACACTAGGAAAAAATAAAAACCTTTGTTTACAAGACCTTGCGTGTCACGGTCCCGGTCGGGGTCAGTGTTGTCTTCACTTGTCCTGCGCATGCGCTGCTGTAAGTGACAGCGTTTTCTATAAGAGTTTATACCCCTCAAGGGAGGTTCCTTGATGCTGGTGAGGGGCTCTTGATCAAGGGAATTGGATCTGTGCTCCAGTTCCCTGAATACCTTCCATCCCTCCCCCCCACATGCGTTGTATAATCCTAAGGGTTTAGCGCTCCCACATGATTATAATAATAACAGAGTTTATAATTCGGCTTGACTGAGGCTGCTTAGCTAAAATGGTTTGAAGCCTGTCGGTTACACGAGTCAGTAAGTCTGCATGTTCACCACCAGTCAAGAATACTTAAATACCTAAAGTAGGGGTAAAGGTAAACTCGTAGTGTATATATACACAAATACAGATACAGTGCCGGATTTAGATGTAGAAAATCCCAGGTTGTTCCACCTGAGAGGCGGCTCTCAGTCCCCAACCCTCACCATTAGACGGAAGTGTTTTAAACAAAATTCAGTGAAGCCGAGGATGATGACGGCTATTTAAAATTCCACATTCATAATTACTCATTTAAAAAACTTAAGATGTTACTGTTAAATACCGTAGTGATTGAAAAAAGCATAAAAATTAAAATTAACATTGATAAACTTGAAATAACCGAACTTTGTTAACATTTTGTGGAATAAGCATTTATTCGTCTAAAATACATATTAAGAAATAAAGAAACTACAATCATCAAATACTGTGGAAAATACTGTATATATTTTCCAGAAATTCAGTATTTATATGTAAATAGATGGCCATACTGTATTTAATAATATTTATGTCATAGAAAACGGAAAGCCTGCGTCTGCGCAGACGAGACTCGCCATCTTGGTTTTGAATTGGATACAACGTTAGTGTAATGGGAAGGAATTTTCGTGCTCTAGAGGTTAAAATTGGGCTGACACCTCTCAAATAGGAGGCGAAATTGTTGGACATGCATTCCTGCATAACTTGAGATATCAGACGACTGGACAAGACAGCTCCAGGAGCCTCAGATAAGCTCTCTAGATTTGTGTATAATTCTGGCCAGTGTTTTCATAAATTTAGTTAGTGAGGTTTTTCTGAGTATGATACAACTTAACATCCAGTCAAATTGGTGAGTGATATTAAGATATATTTTCCTTCTGTTATGTAATTGTGTATATATATAGCCATTTATTATTTTTAATATTCAGTCCACAAATTTATATATTTACCAGTATTCCTGGTGAATGTATATTTCATTTAATTAATAGGTCCAGAGCAACTTGTGGATATGACAGTGGTAGGTATCGAAGGGGGACATTTTTGCGACCTAGGTGTCCCAAATTCCTACTTGTCTATGTAACTGATAAATAATAATTATCTTTGTCATCATTTTCTGTTATGTATATAATGAGTTACATTCAGATAAATGCAATTTTCCACAAATACATTAAGACCAGAAAAGCTTTTTTCTAGTTTTCCTCATAGCAAAATCATCCTAAAGTTTTGATAATTAAACTTTATTTGTCTAAGTTCATCATTTTCACTGCACAGAATGCTCAGTGCGGACAACTTCTCTCTTGAGATATTGCGGCCCTTAATCCATTTTTTATTTTTCTGAGGCTTGAAAAAGGCCTCTCCCAAGCAGTTAGTGACCATTAGGCTAAGAAATAACCTCAAGATTGCTTCCACATTAGGAAGGCCATCTGATTTTTTTCCTTATATGTAATTTGATAAGATGAGACAGTGACTGTTCTCTGTAGGCCTGTGGCTTTGTCACACGTACATCTGAAAGTGCAAAAGTTCATCAGTAAGTTTCTGGTCAACATCTGGGTTATGCTGCCATCAACAATTCAACACCTTGCTGAATTTCTTGCTTAGATGCTGTCAGATTAGCAAGAAAGGGAAACATTTGTGCAACATCACTGTACACAGGAGGTCTTAAATTGGCTTCAAGTGCATTTAATATAGGAATAAAGTATTTTATCCTAAACTTATCTCTTGAAGAGAGTTCATCCAAGGCATCAGGATCTGGTGCACTCCGACATTTTCTTGTTGTTTGTTTACCCTGTCTCCTTGTGACAGTTCTGTAGTTAACATTTGGCAAGTTGGCTTTTGCTTGTTGCTCAAGCTCAACAAAATCTTCTTTAATTTTGCTTAAAAAATCCTGAAGTAAACTGTACAAACATACATGCACAGGTACTCGATAACAGTTCTGATTTCTAAATGGATTTGCTGACCTTCAGAAAATGACCTACCATACGGGTACAAAAATGCAGCATAAATACAGATTCCAATTCTTCAATTTTCTGCAAAAGATTGTTAGCTTGAAGCCTGGTATCAGTCTTCTCATTAACATCAGAGTACAAATGACTGAGAGCCCTCAATCAACTTATCTACCTCACTGCTTTCCTGGAACAACAAAATCAATACAGAAATCAATGCTAGTGTCGAGTTATTGGCATAACCAGGAGGCCTAGTCACAGACCGGGCCGTGGGGGCGTTGACCCCGGAACTCTCTCCAGGTAAACAATAAGACAGTATTATTCTGAAATGGAGTGCAAGGAACATTACTGAAGGGTTGTTTTGAAGAGACTACAGTGCGTTATGACAGCATGTGTAAGAAAGGTCTATGACAGTGTCAAAATATTATACATCATGGCCGGAGGCCTCCTAGATTTTGAGCCAAGCCTATAGGTAAATCCGGCACTGTACAGACTTCTTGGTTTATAATAATAATAATTATTGTTGCTGATGTTATATTAAAGGAATTATTACGAGTATGGTATTACAGTATAGTTAAGCGATAAACCCGAAGGGGTGATACAAGTAGATCTGCATTATTAGGGAAAGTGCTAAACCTGTAAAGGTCATACTGTGGGAAATTATGAGGACGAGGTTCACAGGTACATTCCTGAAATATTTCAGTCACATAATTTGAGAGGGGGGGGGCACAACTAAGCAACAATTTATTGTACTTACCAATATTAGTTGTACCTCAGAGCCAGGTGGGATTTTAGAGACACAAGGCTGCACCATGCCTCTCCTCCGAGACACACACACACTTCCACCCACAAGCTAAGTCGGGTCTATCAAATTACAACATAAAATTAACACCAATAATGTTGGTAAATTACAAGATATTGAGTGGATGTATCGTAACTTGTGACTTGAAATGGACAGATGTCAGAATTATGTTAGCCTGGCATGTAGAAGTCGTATACCTGTACAGCATTCTTGTAACCTAATAAATTTGTCATGATTATCTCATGGGGAGAACCTGTACTCAGATCCGAGCTAATACCTAAGCAAGGTTATATTTAACGTGCCAGGCACACTAGGCAAATTACATTGGAGGCAGCGGGATTGTGGTTCATCTCCCAGGATTTCTCACGTGTACTAATGTTAGTTTTATAATATGTAATGTGGGCAGAAGTTAATGAAAAAACCTACCTGAGCCTTCGGCTCTCCTGTCACTGACGGGATTGTTGAACACTAATTAGTAGTATTCCCACAGCATTTCGCTTTTTTTTTTTTAACGTCTTTTGGAGTACGAACCTCTTTGAGTAAATACTGGAAAAGGTTTATGACTGCTAATTAACTGTGCGATCAGAATGTAATTTGCTGGGAGAGGAAGAGAAGGATTATCCTAGGGAGTGCTAAACCCGTAGGGATTATGCACAACTCCTGTGTGTGGAGGGGTTATACCTGGAGAGGGTTTCGGGGGTCAACGCCCCCGCGTCCCGGTCATTGACCAGGCCTCATGGTGAATCAGGGCCTGATTAACCAGGCTGTTACTGTTGGCCGCACGCAACCCGACATTCGAACTACAGCCCAGATGGTCAGGTACTGACTTTAGGTGCCTGTCTAGCGCCTTGAAGACAGCCAGTGGTTTATTGGTAATCCACCTTATGTATGCTGGGAGGCAGGTGAATAGTTTCGGGCCTCTGACACTTATTGTGTGGTCTCTTATCGTATTAGTGGCGCCCCTGCTTTTCATTAGGGAGATGTTGCATCGTCTGCCGAGTCTTTTGCTTTCATAGGAGTTATTTTCGTGTTTAAATTTGGTACTAATCCCTCTAGGGTTTTCCAAGTGTATATAATCATGTATCTCGCCGGCCTACATTGTAGGGAGTACAGGTTGGCGAACTTCAAGCGTTCACAGTAAGTGAAGTGTTTTATCGCACCTGTGTGTGCCGTGAAGGTTCTCTGTACATTTTCTAGGTCAGCAATTTCACCTGCCTTGAAAGGTGCTGTTAGTGTGCAGCAATATTCCAGCCTAGATAGAACAAGTGACCTGAAGATTGTCATCATGGGCTTGGCATCCCTAGTTTTGAAGGTTTTCATTATCCATTCTTTCATTTTTCTAGCAGATGCGATTGATACAATGTTGTGGTCTTTGAAAGTGAAATCCTCTGACATTATCACTCCCAGGTCTTCCACATTAATTTTTCGCGGTATTGTGTGATTGGAATTTGTTTTATTCTCCAACATGGTTTTAATTTTCTCACATTTTCCACATCGGAGTAATTTAAATTTCTCATCACTGAACTTCATATTGTTTTCTGCGTCCCATGTAAAGATTTGGTTGATGTCCGCCTGGAGTCTTGTAGAGTCTTCAATGGTGGACACTCATGCAAATTCGGGTGTCCTCTGAAAAGGAAGACACGGTGCTGTGGCTTACACCCCTGTCTATGTCAGATATAAAGATGAGGAACAGGACGGGAGCGAGTACTGTGCCTTGGAACAGAGCTTTTCACAGTAGCAGCCTCAGATTTTATTCTGTTTACTATTACTCTATTTGTTAGGAAGGCATTCAGGCTTAATTCAGGGAATTGGAGCACAGATCCAATTCCCCAGATCAAGAGCCCCTCACAAGCATCAAGGAACCTCCCTTGAGGGGAGGGGAGGGGAAAGAGCGCTAAACCGTAGGGAGTCATAAGACACCTGGAGGAAAGGGAGTCAGGTTAAGTCCAAGGAATGAGATCGGGTTAATATCTCGGATCAAAATCTCTCACCGGCATCAAACACCGTTGAAGTGATATTTTGTTGGAGTGTTGTACCTGATTAGGTTCCCATTATTCTTGAAGATCAAATCTAATATAATTTAGTTTCCAATAGGTTCTTTCACCTGTTAATTCAAAGTAAACTTCATGGAGTATCAGAAGCGCCCTGGTATGTATTTGTTGAGACAGTAGGCCTGTTACCACCTCCAGCACAATATTGTTACCTATTGTGGAAAATTTTGATTTTTCCTAAATTTAGCATATGTAACTTTGAATATAATAAATGTGTTTCACAATGTGATGCTGATTTGACCCTTCTAGAAATTTCAAGTGAGGGGAGGATGTGGAACAGCGGCAAGGGGGAGAGGAGGACGCCATAGTGAAACTGAATGTGTGAACATTGGTCTTTAAGTGTGCAATGTAATCAGACATCATCAAAGTTCAACTGGTGTATATCGAACTTAATCCACAATTTAGAAATTGCTGACATTCCCGCTGAAGAACAGAGATAGTGTGGAAAACTCTTAAAATTTGGCTACAAGGAAGGAAAAATAGGAGACTCCGATTCTTCCCAGTAGCAAACCTTAGCTAAGTGATGCTTACCCATAATGTACAGTAGTTTTTCTTTGGCCATCGTAAATTCTCGTTAGGGTGTGTTCCAAATACCTGTTATCCAGTAATTAAGTGGTAAGTGGTAATACGAATTTCCAGAGTTGCTGGTTTTAATATTTTAATTATTAATTTAATGTCAGATCTAGCTTTTGGTTTTAATATTGTAATTATTAATTTAATGTCAGATTTAGCTTTTTGTGAGTATTGATGGAGTGGGCATCGAGGGAGTGACTGTTCTGCGACCTACTGCATGTAATAATTCAGGTAATACCCTGTAAACCTCATGCAGGTAATTTCTCACACCTATCCTCCACTTTCACATTTTGGAGGTTGAAATTTTCGGGAGGATAGTACCTGTTGTAGATACTTTAAAATGGTATATTGTTTGCACCAAATTGCACCCTAAAATATAATAGGCTGTAGGAGGTTGCACTAAATTATGAAAAGTATTATAGATTTTTTTGTAGCTTTCAAATTCCCATGCTACATTAAGGAGAAAAATAGTTCTGAATAATGGACAATTTTATTAAAAATATTACATATGAGGAAACAAGCACAGTACATTATATATTTGTATAAAATGAACTCCACACTTATAAAAATAAAAGGGAATTAAAACTGTAGGAATATATTCTAATGAAGGTGGAGGCAAGTTTCAAAACAAGTTTTTATGGGAACAATGTGTCCGTTGTGTAGAGCTTTATCAAGTAATACCGCTCAGCAGGTAACATACCAACACCAGTTAGTATGTTGTCTGCTGAAGACTGACACCTCTAAACTCCACAACTTGTAGTACGGGACACCTCTAAACTCCACAACTTGTAGTACGGGACACCTCTAAACTCCACAACTTGTAGTACGGTCACCAATAGAAACTTTCACGCACATTGTATCGTGAAATATATATTGATTTTGAACTTAACAATAATAGTGTCAAGTATTATGAAGAAAAAAATTGATATACAGAACTACAGTATAATGCCATTTTCTCTTCAAAGTGGTTTGTTTTGATTTAAGTTAGATTATAATATATATTTACATTGATGTGAGAACTTCCTGGTTAGATGCCAAAGATAATCCTATCATACCTAATAAAATTATTAAAACGCATTATTTGAAGATTTATAAAATAATCTGTATCTAAACTTCACACTACTTATGGTAATCGAATGAAATAAAATAAAATAACGGCTTAAGTATATGAAAGATACGATGCTCTGAATGTCAAGTATATAACATTTATTTTTTTAAGATGCAGTATATTTTTTGAGATATATTGTAGAAAAAATTAAGATACTCTCACTTTAAAATAATATGGAATCCGATAAAAATATAACTGGTGAATTTATTTCAATTCACCGATGCCACAGATCTAACTGGTAGTCCAGTAATTCTCCTAACCTAACCTAACATTGTGACATACTGTAACTGAGTGATCATATCACACTTGTGATAAATAATGCGGAACATTGTGAAATATCTTCCTGACAATGACTTAAAGAAGTTGGTCCACTCACCATCACAAAGTTACAGTACAATGATGCGGTATCAAAGTATCCCAGTTACCTCACAACTCTTATTACTATATATGCATATACATATTTATCAACAAATAACCTGCATATAGTGGAAAGACTTATGACGATGTTTCGGTCCGACTTGGACTAGTTAATGGCCCATGTTGGACCGAAACGTCATAAATTTCTCTCTTTCTCTCTCTTATATGAGGGTTATTTGTGCAATGTTCCAGTCACGGGTTGTGACTTTTTATTCTTTACATACTTTATCATTTGAAGTTCGAGTCATCTCAGTCTATGAAACAAATTCTAATTTCTTGATACAAAGTTGTAAGAATTTGTCTTTCTCCAAAAAAGTAAATAAAAAATACATTAAAAAATTTCTTTAATATCCCTACAATTTTTGTAATACTTCTTAGCCCTTCGTCTCTGTTTCTATATACACGAGTTTGATAAAGTATCTACAGCCATGAAACATGTATCCTGTGCAACAATGAATACAATCATACACATTTACAGTAATTCAAATGCTTACTTTTATTCTCTTCACTCCATTATTACTGCTACACCCGTGTTTGTATTCACATTGTCTCTTCGACGGAATGTCTCTTATCCAAATATATGTTAACATTGTGTGTGCACTGATAATCTATAAAACATTCTGTGAGCTTTTATGTATATTCGCAACGTTTTTTTTTCATGTATAAGTATGTGTACCTACAAAATGTTTCCATGCAAATACATTTTGTACCAAAAAATGTAAGTGGTAATGAACTACACAATTAAACAACAAATATATAATAACTAGGATTTAATAATTAGGAATCTAATTTACTAAACAAATTTTATTTTCAAAATGTACGTAAGTTTCTAAGTTAATTGATATTTGTTTAATACACATTGAAAAGCCCCTGGTTATGTAGAGCATTTTAGGTAGACTAATCTAACACTTAAAACTACTGCACTTGACATCGAATAGTTAAACAGTATTTAACATACTGTTTTTAAAATACACTGCCGCAGTAACATTGCTGCTATCACAGGTCTTACTATACAAAATACGTTTTATAAATAATATAAAAGTACAAGGATATGAGAGTACTGTACTAACGTTCATTTGGGCACAGCTTTGCACCCTAATTTAACTTCCAAAGAAAAGTGTGTACTAAAAATTAGCCACATCTGTAGTGACGTCGTCGAGGACAGTGTGGTTTGTGTAAGTCATCTCCATCTTTCCTGGTAATTTTTTTTTCAGAACCGTGAGCTGTAGAACAGTTATTCCTTCAACAAATCTGGAGCTCCTAAAAGCTCCTACTGATGTAGCCTTTTTTTTTCCTGTGAATATTGCATAATTCTACATATCTTGTGGGAAGACTGTTGTTTCATGGGTTTGCTGCCACTCACTGGTAGAAGACTTTCTTACTATGTATCCTACACTGCAGTCTAGCGAATACTTGTACCTTGTATGTTATGTTGAAGTTTTCTTTAAGACAATGCTTTTGTTTTGTTAGGTTTTGTAGGTGTCATCTCCATGTGTGAATAACAGCAGAGTCCGGGCGTATATATATAGTACACATTTATGGGTAAGTGCTAAATCCGTAGGGGTCATAAATCTCCCGAGGATAGACAGAAGCGAGTTTTAAAGTGCAGGGTGTCTCCAATTCACTGGATCAAGATCACTTCACCGGCATTAAGGCCAGTGAAGGCTGGGAGCGTATAAGGAATTCGTAGAGCTGGATGACAGTTTTCTTGTCCATATATTTGTGTTCCATTATTATTACAGTGTTACTCCCACTCACTTGCTGCGCTGCTTTTTAAGGACTCGTGGACTGTTATGCCATGGATCATTTCTTGGAGGCAGCAAGACAGTTTGCATTGTTTCATGCTAGTGCTAAATTTCTCTAGTGAATAGCATTCAAATTTGTTTTGGATCATTATGCTTTTTTCAATGTTTATCTTTATACAAGGAATCTTCATTATCGACACAGAAAATTTATTGTGATTTAAGATAGTATTTTTATCTGTCAATTATCACAAACAAGGTTAGCTTCAGAATGGATTTTTTGTGGTACTTCAGACATTCATATCAGATTCTCTATTTATGAACCTCTTATTACGAAATTTTGCTAGTAATCCAGCGACCTTGAATTTTCCAAGTCTTTCTTTTTGTCTGTAACACTGCTAAATATCTAAAGTGTATATGTACATGACAACTTGGAAAGCCTTGTCAGTGTAACCGACAACAATTTCAAAAAATGTAAGTAAATTTATTATCAAACATTTGTGTTCTATAAATTCACGTTGTCTTGATTATCCAGTATATATGGTGCACCGAGAAATGGTTGGCTATTACTTCCCCTCAAAATTATCTTAAGAAAGTTGCATATGTAAGAAATTAGGTGACTTCAAGTAGTTTCTGCTGCAAATCTACTTTCTATTATGAAGACAGAAATTATAAAAAAAAAATTATCGTCTTGAGACATTTTCCTTAGTCCAGGGAGATTTTAAACAGTTTTAGTCAGTAGCGCAGCCTGAATTTCAATCCGGGGAGTAACTTTAAAGTCGTAAAATGCTCAAAAAATCGTCTTTAAAAACTTATGATTTTCAGTATGTGTAAAATTTCTTGGACTATCGTGCTTTCGTGGTTAATGGTCAATACAATACAGTGAAAATTTGCAATTAAAAAGGTATTTGAATCTGGGGTGCTTTAGCCCCCCTCCCCTCCTGTACATATAAATTCTTAGCTTTCATATGTTTTATCAAATTAGCAGTATTATATTTTCAAAGTTTAATTTAGATAAGGTTTCACCCAGTCTATCTATAGATGAAATATTGTGTTCGAAAATGATAATGCCTCATGTCAGTCTGTCTTCTTTTTGCCTTCTTGTAGCGCTTAGTTTGATTATAATATTATTGTTGTTGCTTTCTTCCCACAGTAAGAATTCCCAGCTTTGTCCTTACTCCACTTGCCAACAGTCCAACAGTCTTTTCTCTGGAGGTTCATGGAACATCAGCTTCTTCACGAAACTATTGCTAAACCCAGGCTGATGTGAAAGCTGCCGATGAGGGATGAGCTTCTACCACTGGCAGATATGTGAGGCTATTCTTTACCTTTCTTTGTCGGGATACTGTGTAGCAGTGAAAGTCTTGTGATCAGATGCGCCGATGTATGCAAACTATGTGCAACTCTTCTCCGGCCATATCATCCTACTGTTGTGATGCAGTAGAAATGAATGTTATCCATCGAATCAGGCAGTTAACTGGGTCTGCACATTCAATTTTTTTTATTAGGTCTGTGCATTTCATATATGTACTCTTTTGGGAGGCCTATTGGAATTATGCACTGCCTTAAGCACAGTTTCCGGGTGTTCGGGAATTACAACGTCCACGGACTGGACAAATGTACTTTCTGAAATAATTGTCAGCTACACAAGATTCATATAATGCAGTAGTGTATATAATTTGTTTACTCTCTGCAATACAAAATTTCTAACACGAACAAAAAAAAAATGTATTTATACACGTTTGTTTTTAAAATATATAAATACATTTTAATGCTATATTTTAAAATGTGCAAGTTCCTTAAAATATAAAAATATATAAATAAATATCTTTGCCCTACCACCAATGAGAACTATGGGATTTTTACACCTACCAATAGTTATATAACATTTGAAATCAATAAATATATCATAATACTAATTATTCCGTGGGATATTACTACTGTAAGTATTTTTTTTCAGCAAGTCGGCCGTCTCCCACCGAGGCAGGGTGACCCAAAAAGAAAATACTTTCATCATCATTCAACACTTTCACCTCACTCACACATAATCACTGTTTTTGCAGAGGTGCTCAGAACACAACAGTTTAGAAGCATATACGTATAAAGATACACAATATATCCCTCCAAACTGCTAATATCCCGAACCCCTCCTTTAAAGTGCAGGCATTGTACTTCCCATTTACAGGACTCAAGTCCGACTATATGAAAATAATCAGTTTCCCTGAATTCCTTCACTAAATATTACCCTGCTCACACTCCAACAGATCGTCAGGTCCCAAATACCATTCGTCTCCATTCACTCCTATCGAACACGCTCATGCACGCCTGCTGGAAGTCCAAGCCCCTCGCCCACAAAACCTCCCTTACCCCTTCCTTCCAACCTTTTCGAGGACGACCCCTACCCCGCCTTCCTTCTCCTACAGATTTAAGTGCTCTCCATGTCATTCTACTTTGATCCATTCTCTCTAAATGACCAAACCACCTCAACAAACCCTCTTCAGCCCTCTAATACTTTTATTAACTCCACACCTTCTCCTAATTTCCACACTCCGAATTTTCTGCATAATATTTACACCACACATTGCCCTTAAACAGGACATCTCCACTGCCTCCAACCGTCTCCTCGCTGCTGCATTTACCACCCAAGCTTCACATCCATATAAGAGTGTTGGTACTACTATACTTTCATACATTCCCTTCTTTGCCTCCATAGATAACGTTTTTTGACTCCACATATACCTCAACGCACCACTCACCTTTTTTCCTTCATCAATTCTATGATTAACCTCATCCTTCATAAATCCAAGTCTGCATCAAATGTACATCAAATGGTTATAATTATAACAGTTTTTAAATGGGTGGACCGGTAAGCCAGCGGAAGGCCTCGGTCAGATGAACAAAAGCTCCAGCTGCGGGTCATCATATAACTAAGACCCGCGTCAGGAAACACTTATCTTGTTTAATGACAAATCTTACCTAGCCTAACCTGTATCAAATGCATAAAGGGGCACTGCTGCAATTATAATTTGCATACAAAAAAAATAGCTAATCGCAGTAGTTAAAAAAATGTACTCTGTATTATTAAGCAGTTTATATAGAGATTATCATCAATTTGAACGAATGATTGTGAAATAAGAATAAATAATTTATCAAGGCTGTAAAATATATTTAGCAGGTTGTAACTGACTTATCATGTGCAGCATTTAAGAGTTTATGGTAACCTTTCATTCTTTGTGCATCAAACATTTTAGAACCAGTTATGTATGGTGTGTGTTTGATTCATGCAATGCTGACGTACAATTTCAAGTAAGTTCTAGAACAGCAGAATACAGTAAAGCTATATAGTCTATCGAGATCACATGTTTACATACATAAACTCCTTATAAAAATCACAGGCAATTATGTCCAGTTAAAATTTAAAACTAACAAGGAATACATTTGTATTTCCAACCAAAACATGTGTCAGGAACACTACATACTCCACAATATGCCTTATGTAAGCTTGGTGATCTAATTAATGCTATGGTTGTATGGTAGACAAGTATACTTACTGTCCTCTGCTGCATTCCATAAACATCAGAAAATTTCCTTGGGAAACTAATGATTATCTTAAAGTTTTGAGCATTCTTTTTCTTGCACAAACTCATTGAATGTCTTTTCCATCATATCTGAGTTGAAGGCGGGATTAGTACTGCCCAGGGAGCTAGAACTCTGATTCTCCTTTAGTCCTTCCTCTTCATTAATCTGCAGAGAAAAAATGTATTATTAAATTAGGGGCTGGGAGTCTATAATTATTCACCTACGTATAAATATGCATTATTTTCAAAACCATGTATACAATGATGGTTAAATGACTTACAATATTCTTTTTATATAAAGATAATAATTGTATCTTGCGATATTACAATAGTATTTCCTATCAAGGGGATACCTTGTACCTTGATCCAAGGAACTGAATCAACTTTTCTCCAACCTGAAACAAACCAGATGCCCTAAGCACTGTATAACCCCTACTGGTTTAGTGCTTCCCCACGATTATAATAAATTATTATAAACTAAGTATACTTGCTTCAGTCGCTACACGACTAATAATTCATAAGCTGAACCCCCAGTACATCAACGATCCAAGCAAGGTATCCCTTGCACGCAGGAGGCATTATAGTAGATGGACTTCCAAATTCTCTAAAGGCAAAGAAGCGGTCCCCTCAAGAAAGGTGCCTTGTTGCCTCTCATTCCCCAGAAGTTTGGTGACGTTTGCTGAATTACTCACATCGATTAAGTGAGTCTTTTTGAATAATAATAATCTCTCATACACTATTTTTTGATCACTGGTCATATAATTCATTACTGTATTCATTCTCAGCTTATTTTTTTAATTATAATATCTGCAGACGTTGATGTATGTATGCGTGAAATTTATGTAAAAGGATGAGGACTAATCAGCTCTAGCGCCTTCAGGAGAGGACTTCTTTAGGAGATGAATCTCTAAAGGAAACAAGCAACGGGTTAGCGAGAATTATCAATAATATATATTCTGATCTAAACCAAATAATTAGACAGCACACAACAATATACTCACGTAGTCTTCACCAAGACCATCAAGCCCTGGGAGCCATTTCTTGAACCACAAGACAGCGGGTGAGAGACAACGAGGGTCGATGGCCCTCACGTCCTGCTTTCCAGTCACCAGCGTCACCAGCAGACCCACAATGATCACAGTGAAGCAGCCAGTCGCAGAGTACCACATGTAGGACAAGCGGTACAAGCCCAGCGCCTCCTCAGGCTCACTGTGTGCAAAAGTAAACAATGGTAAGTCACTCAACGCATAATTAACACAAAATAACTGAAAACATTGAGATATTTAATATTTTTGAGAAGGGTCTGATATTTCTAATTAAAATGCATTACATTATTTCGCATATAGTATAAATCCCGTATAACAAAACCGGCAAATCTTTATTTCCAAACTAAAATATACTCAAGATGTTTACCATTAATACAGTACAGTGCCCCGGTGCCCCGTGGCCTGGTGGCTAAAGCTCTCGTTTCACACGGTGAGGGTCTGGGTTCTATTCCCAGGGAGGGTAGAAACATTAGGCGTGTTTCTTTACAGCAGTTGTCTATGTTCCTCATCAGTAAAATGGGTACCTGGGTGTTAGTCGACTGGTGTGAGTCGCATCCTGGGACAAAACTGACCTAATTAGCCCGAAATGCTCTGCATAACAGGTTATAACACGGGGCTTTCTATATAGTAGTATGTCATTGATGTCAGCTAGGCCTGTATACCTTGCGCATGTACTTGTAGAAATAAAGATATTTTATAATTATGTGGTAGCAACTCTGTGGTAGTAGGTGTGTGCTGCTTCATTCACCCAGCAGGCAGGGCTGGTAGTGACCCAGAGTAGGGATGGTGACTACAACCAACTTAGGTCCTCAATATAGGTCATCGGCTACACCCATCAGAGGGGCCGCCCTGTATTGGACAGTTAGGTGTCCGGAATGAGTTATAGTCGAAAAACTATCTTTGCATCGGCCTGGGCCAACATTCGTATCACAGCGCTTTCCGGTTTTGGAAACCCCTTGCGAACTGAGGTACCCTGCCCATACTGAACTACGATTATCCCTTTTGTCCTTCAGAGTTACAAATATTTTGAAAAAAAATAGTTAACTTTTCCTGGAACTATTGCTTTGAGTGACCAGACCTCCAACGTGCCTTTTTTCTGGAAAAATCGTCGAAAGACTACAGCGTCGTTCCCAAAGAGTCACCTTCATTCAGTCCTGTACGACAAGCTCTCATCACTCGCCCTACAGATCCCTCTACCAGAACAAGGCTTCGCGTTGCTTTATAGTACCATTAGTGTTAGGCTTCAGTTATGAGTCGTTTATATTAATAACTAACTAAATGCATCGCAGCACCTTAAAACAGTACATTTTGCGTTTTTTTCCTATCATCCCATTCACGAGGGTTGCCTCGATGCCTAAGAACTGCTCTTGATCAAAGAAATTAGAGCTCCCTTCCTTGTGACCTAACTTTTGCTTCCATGTTCTTAATTCTCGAAGCCCAGTAAGACCCCTATAGATTTAACGCTTCTCAAGGAATATAATAATACAGATGTTATGTATCTTCATACGAGTGATGCCCTTGGTCTAAGAAATGGAACTCCCCTCCTATTCCTTAGATCAAGACTGCCTCCCATTCCCGAAGCGCTGCGTGACCCCAGAAAGCTTAATATTTCCTCATGAATTTAATAGTTATTAAAATTTTATGATGATGCAGTTGTAGGTTCATTTCACCAATGGACGACATATGGGGTTAGGTCTATATGGAGTGATTAATGTACTCACGGTGTAGGCAGGAATGTTGGTTCAATGATGGTCATGTTAACACAGCCGTCTATGCTGGTAGGCATGGCCTCCAGCCTGATCTGACCATTGGACCTTGCCACCTGGTGACCGATTCCAATCCAGAACATGAAGATCAAGCTGATAACTTCACCAATGAAGGCTCCCTGTAGCAGTAGCCCAAAGAGAGCGTAAGTGACGAAATATGAATATAAATGCCTAACCAGAATTCACTTACATCAATGATAGGATCCTTAACAGACCACTATACAAACTCCTTATTTTATAGCTGAAAGCACAGTTAATTCAAATTAATCATTAATTTACATTGGTTTAAATACACCTGCTTATACACAATGGTTCATAATATGAAGTTGTTAGTAACTTTTTTGCATGTGTTGTTTTTATTAACATTATTTAATCGTCACCTTATCTGTTCAGTATTAGGATAACTTAAATTTATTCTTATATTAATTTATTTTGAACCAACGCTCTTTTCAAAGTAAAGGCTGATCGGTGTTCCCAATAAATGATCCAAGAAAACCTACTTGGAGTATGCCTCGAGAGGGTTTCGGGGATCAACGCCCCCGCGGCCCAGTTCGTGACCAGGCCTCGTGGTGGATCAGGGCCTGATCAACCAGGCTGTTATTGCTGGTCGCACGTAAACCGTCGTACGAACCACAGTCCGACTAATAAGGTACTGACTTTAGGTGCCTGTCTAGCGCCTTCTTGAGGACAGCCAGGGGTCTACTTGTATGCTGGGAGGCAGGTGAACAGTCTTGGGGCCCCTGACACTTACTGTGTTGTCTATTAGTGTACTCGTGGCGCTATTGCTTTTCATTGGGGCGATGTTGCACCACCTGCATAGTCTTCTGCTTTCGTAGAGAGTGATTTTCATGTGTAAATTTGGTACTGATCCCTCTAGGATTTTCCAAGTGTATATTATCGTGTATCTTTCTCGCCTGTGTTTCCGGGAATACAAAGCAAGGGACTTCAACAGTTCCCAATAATTTAGGTGCTATATCATACTTGTGTGTGCCGTGAAGGTGCCCTGTACATTCTCCAGGTCAGCAGTTTCGCCTGCTTTGAAAGGGGCCAATAATGTACAGCAGTTTTCCAGCCTAGAGAGAACAAGCGATTTGAAGAGAATCATCATAGGCTTGGCGTCCCTAACTCTGAACGTTCTCGTTATTTATCCTATCATTTTTCTAGCAGATGAAGTAGATAAGTTGTTGTGGTCTTTGAAAGTGAGATCCTCTGACATTATCACTCCAAGATCCTTCACATAAGTTTTTCGCTCTATTGTGTGGTTGGAATTTATTATAGACTCGGATACAGTTTCAATTTCCTCAAGTTTTCCATACTGGAGTAATTGAAATTTCTCTTCATTGAACCTCATATTGTTTTCTGCGGCCCATGTAAAGATTTGGTTGATGTCTGCTCGGAGTCTCCAGCGTCTTCGACGAATGACACTGTCATGCAAATTCGGGTGTCATCCGCAAAGGAAGACACGGTGCTGTGGCTTACATGTGTCTATGTCAGATATGAGGATGAGGAACAGGATGGGAGAGAGTACTGTGGAACAGAGCTTTTCACTGTAGCCACCTCAGACTTCACTCCGTTTACTATTACTCTTTGTGTTCTATTTGTTAGGAAGTTATAGATCTATCTACCACCTTTTCCTGTTATTTCTTTATCACGCACTTTGTGCGCTAATACACCATGGCCGCACTTGTCGAAGACTGTCGCAAAGTCTGTGTATACTATACCTCCATTTCGTTTACCCTCTAGCGAATCCAGGACCTTTTCATGGTGGTCCAGTAGTTGGGACAGGAATGGGTGACCTGCTCCAAACCTATGTTGCTCTGTGTTGTGTAACTGATGGTTATCTAGGTGGATGGCGATATTGCTTCTTAGAACCCTTTCAAAGATTTTTATGTTATGGAACGTTAGTGCTATCAGGCTGTAGTTCTTTGCAATTACTTTACTACCACCCCATCCTGTTGCTCATCCTCATATCAGATAGAAAGAGATGTAATCCACAGCACGTGTCATCTTTTGCAGATACTAGGTTCTGTATGAGACTCATCTATTGAGGACACGGTTAACCTCCAAGAAGATATAAACCAAGTTTTCCAGTGGGCAACGGAAAACAATATGGTGTTCAATGAAGACATATTCCAACTACTCCGTTATGGAAAACTGGAGGAGATAATAATTAGAACTTAGTATACTACAAACTCTAGTCATTCAATAAAGCGAAAAAAATAAAGTGAGGGACCTGGGAGTGGTAATGTTTGAGGGTTTCACTTTCAAGGCTCACAACAGTGCCACGATCACAGCTGCAAAGAAAATGATAGGATGGATAACGAGAACGTTCAAACAAGAGATGCTAAGCCAATGATGATCCTTTTTCAATCATTTGTTTTCTCTTGGTTGGAATACTTCTGTACATTAACATCGCCATCCAAAGCAGGTAAAATAACAGATCTAGAGTATGTTTACGTTTACTGCATATATCAGTTCCGTCAAAAACCTTAACCATTGGGAGCACTTGAAAGCACTTGACTTGTACTCGCCGGAACGCAGGCGAGAAAGATGCATCATAATCTATACTTGGAAAATCCTAGAAGGAATGGTCCTTAATCTGCTTACGAAAGCAAGACTGGGCAGGCGGTGCAAAATACCCCCAATGAAAAGTAGGGACGCCATTGGTACACTAAGAGAAAACAAAATAAGTGTCTGGGACCCAAGACTGTTCAACAGCCTTCCCTCATGCATAAGGAAAATTACCAATAGACCCCTGGCTGCCTTCAAAAGGGAATTGAACAGATACTTAAAGTCGGTGCCGGATCAGCCGGCTGTGGTTCGTATGTTGGACTACGTGTGGCCAGTCTGGTTGATCAGGCACTGATCCACCGGGAGGCCTGGTCGTGGACCGGGCCGCGGAGACGTTGATCCTCGGAATACCCTCCACAGGCTCCAGGTAGACGTTTCTGGAGTGGGGATATCTGTTGTTTTTAGTGACTGTAGGATGACCCGTGTCCATGCTCCCTCTCCATAGAATGCTAAAGGCACATAACTGGGGCTTCTTGCAGTTCTTGATGAACATGGAGTTCCACGAATCCGGGCCTGGGGCAGAGTGCATGGGCATGTCACTTATTGCCTTTTCGAAGTCTTGTGGTGTTAGGAAAATATCAGAGATTTATTAATTGACCGAAATTGGTTAACGGTTCGCTAAACACCGAGTCATATTGGGACTTAAGTATCTCACTCATTTCTTTACTATCATCTGTATGAGTCCCATCTCATCTAAGGAGGGGTCCAATACTGGAATGTTTTCGCCATAAATCTGGTATAAAGAAAGTAGTATTTTGGGTTTCTTTCAATTTCATTCATGGCTTTAAGCTCTTCCTGAGATTCTTTTCTCCTGTAAGATTCCCTAAGCTTAAGTTCGATATTTGCTATTTCTCTGACCAGCGCTTCACTTCTGATTTTTCGCCTTTGTCTGTATAGGGAGCGTCTCTCTCTCTTTATATTTTACATCTCCTCTTTCTTTTTCATAAAGGAATGTGCCTTGAGCAGACCTCTAAGTGCCTCAGAGTTAATTCTTTCTAGGCAAACGTTCGGATCCGTGTTGTTCAGGATATCTTCCCAGCTTGTTTCATTTAGAACATGACTGACTTGTTCCCACTATGTTTTTGTTACTGAAGTTGAATTTGGTGACTTCACCCTCATTACTGATCTCTAAGCATGACTTAAAACTAGATGTCACATTAACAATGATTTATGGCACATGGAAAAGGACTATGTGAATACATTTGCACAGAAGAAGACTTACGTAGGCATTGGCCCAGGGGAAGAACATGCCAAGGGTGAAGACTCCCAGCAGAGGACCTCCAACCATGCCGAAAATGCTGAGCGCCGCCTGCAATACAATACATCCCATATAAGAATTTAAGATTAGTTCGGAATTTTAACCCGAAATGTTACCACCCAAGATAACAGAGTCAGTGCGTCATCGAGGACTAACTGTCTCACCTCCTTTAATCTTGTCCCCCAAGATGTGACCCACACCAGTCGACTAACACCTAGGTACCTACTTACTGCTAGGCGAACAGGGACAGCAGGTGTAAGGATACATGCTCAACGTTTCCACCCATGCCGGGGACTGAACCACGGACACTCAGTATGTGAGGCAAGTGCGTTGCCAACCGAGCCACGGGAACTGCCCTACTGCTGATGGAGTAATCTAAAATAAGGCTAGATGCCTTTATGCTGAATACCCTTGATCCACGGAACTGTAGGTAGCGTCCGACTCTTGGAGCAACCCTGATTACTTCTCACTCTCCAGGTGCTGTACGACTCGTACAGATTTAGTTTCCCCATGAATAAAATGTAAGAAAAAAGGCTAAAGGTAAGAGATATTATAAAGAAAATGGAGAGATATTGTGGGTCAAAAATATATTAATTACAGTGTGGATCAAAAATATATTAAATAATGTTGTACTCCAATGACATTGCTTTGCAAAACTTACAGAGAAAGTAGAGCCAGAAGATGGCAGCTCGGTGTGTTGTAGAGAGGTGCAACACTAATATTAACACGAAAACTAGATTAAGACAAAGCATTTCGGTCGTTGCTCTATCCTAGTAAAGTATCACTATACTGCATAACCCAAGGTTCTCATACCTTAATACTGGTGAAAAAAACTAATGCAGAGTATGGCGTAAGTTTATAATGCAACTAAATATTAGTGATGATTTGAAGCGAATCAGATTTGGAACTCACAAGTTATCACATAGAAACTATCATTAAAATTTTCAATAAAAATGACAAATTAAGTTATATACACCTTAAACTAAATCAAACCTGCCACTAAGAACCAACTAACTTTAAAGCCAAACTAAAAACAAATGGCACCTACACACTCCAGCAAATACAATAGTACTCTAAGCCAGACACATCGAGTGTTGAATTCAGTTTTGATGTCAATCAGAGGTTTCTCCGGTTATCCCACGGAAATAAAATCTTGGAGCTGCCTTTGTAACATTGTCTATAGGACGCCCATGCATCCAAACACTCTTGTAAGTCTTGTCCTGCATACCGTGCATCAGCCTTGAAACTTTTAATCGGATCAAGTAAGGCGTTCTGGACTTATAAACTAAAATTTTGAATACAAAAAAGAAAAATGTTGCTGATAAATGTTCCGAAAAGAGTTAAGTCTATTATCCAATAAAAATATTTGATTTTGTAAGAAAATCCAATAAACTTTATTTAAAAAAAAATGGCACCATAACCAGTACAAAAATACTTCCAATTATGATATATTAGAGTTTAGGATTTGAAGCCGATCAGAAGACGCGTTCTTTAGATATTACACGGGAAGCAATTTATTTAATAAAAGTGGCATTTGAAATTTATAAAATTCAAAATGAACGCCAGGCTTTATTTTAATAAAGCCAAACAATGATGAAAGTGTAATGCCGATCAGAAAAGACATCCACCAGTAATTGATCTGAGTCTGATTGTACGATTTTTTTAACAATTTCAGTAAAATTTCAAATTTCCACTTAGAGTAAATTTATGGGAGATCATTCAACACTTTCCCCATCATTAACACAATCACTGTCTTTGCAGAGGTGCCCAGATATTACACTTTATATGTCACTCCAAACAGTCAATATCCCAAACTCCTCCTTTAAAGTGCAGGCAATGGACTTCCCACCTCCAGGACTCTGCTAACCGGTTTCCCTGGAGTTTACCTGGAGAGAGGTAAACTCCAGGGAAACCGGTTAGCAGAGTCCTGGAGGTGGGAAGTCCATTGCCTGCACAGACTATCTACTACACGAGGGTCATTAAGACTATCTACAATACGAGGGTCATTAAGACTATCTACTACCCGTGGAGGGTGTATAAATCTGTAGTGGAGGGGAGGAGTAGGGGTCGTCCTAGAAAAGGATGGAGGGGGTGAAAGAGGTTTTGTGTGAAAGGGGCTCGGACATACAGCAGGCAGGTGTGAGCAGGTTAGATAGGAGTGAATGGAGACGAATGGTTTTTGGGGTTTGAACTGTTGAAGTGTGAGCAGGGTAATATTTTGTGAATGGAATCAAAAAATATTATTCTACTCACATTCCAACAGATCGTCAAATCCCAAAAACCATTCGTCAATCTAACACGCTCACACATGGCTGCTGCATGTCCAGGCCCCTTGCACACAAAATCTCTTTTACCCCCTCCCTCCATCCTTTCCTAGGACGACTCCTACCCCTCCACTACAGATTTATACACCTTCCAAGTCATTCTGTTTTGTTCCATCCTCTCTAAATGTGTGGTGTAAATATTATGGAGAGAATTCGTAGTGTGGAAATTAGGAGATATGGAGTTACTAAAAGTATTATTCAGAGGGTTGAAGAGGGGTTGCTGAGGTGGTTTGGTCATTTAGAGAAGCTGGAGCAAAATAGGATAAGTAAGTAAGTAAGTAAGTAAATTTATTCAGGTATACACAATACAGTTACATAGAATTATCATACATAGCAGCATATGTGTAGAGAACCTAAGATAACCCAAAAAAGTCAGACAGAGTGACTTATTTCCATTGGGGTCCTTTTACCTTATTATAATATAAAGGTTATAATATTTTCTTATTATTCTATAATGAAGATAACATCTTATTATCATACTAAAAAGACTATCTACTACACGAGGGTCATTAAGACTATCTACAATACGAGGGTCATTAAGACTATCTACTACCCGTGGAGGGTGTATAAATCTGTAGTGGAGGGGAGGAGTAGGGGTCGTCCTAGAAAAGGATGGAGGGGGTGAAAGAGGTTTTGTGTGAAAGGGGCTCGGACATACAGCAGGCAGGTGTGAGCAGGTTAGATAGGAGTGAATGGAGACGAATGGTTTTTGGGGTTTGAACTGTTGAAGTGTGAGCAGGGTAATATTTTGTGAATGGAATCAGGGAAACCGGTTAGCCGGATTTGAGTCCTGGAGGTGGAAAGTACAATGCCTGCACTCTAAAGGAGGGGTTTGGGATACTGGTTGTTAGGCGTGACATATGAAGTGTTGTATCTGGGCGACTCTGCAAAGACAGTAATTATGTGTGAATGATGGTGAAAGAGTTTCTTTCAGTAAAGATCATTATATATGGGACCGTCAAGTGTATAAGGGAGGAAAATCAAGTAATTAATGAGAATCTGGTAAAAAGTGAAGCGTGTTAAGAAGATATGTACATGTAAGAGCTTCTCCGTTACACATTCTTGAAGCACAAGTATAAAAATACAATACCACTTAAAAATTTTGCTTAAATTTTTGAAAACGATTTCACAAAGAAGACGCTAACCATATATAATAGAGTGCATGCTTACAGATAAAACATTGCCGAGCTGCTCCGCTACGAAGACTAGGCCAAAAGTGAGGAGACCGAAGAAGAGAGAGAGGCCTCGTGAGACCCAAGTAGCTACATTGTCGGAGATGCCAGGGTAACACCCGCCCTTGACGAAGTCCTCCAACACGATGGCCGCCAGGGAGTTCATTCCAGAAGACACCGTGCTGGTGGTAACAATAGCAATAATTAACTTACTGAATGATACCATCCCTGGCACTACGTGTATTTACAGTGGAAACTTTCAATGTTAAATCTGGAATAGTGATTTACTACTTTAATTATGAAGAGAACAGTCCTACCTGAGGGCACCGGCAAATATGCCAGAGACGAACAGTCCTGGGAGTCCACGCCACTGTCCGAGGGTGTCCATGACAAAGAGTGGGAAGAGTTGGTCTCCCTTGGTGACAATACCGGCGCGGATGGGGTCACAATCAAAATACTTGGCGTACACAACCATTCCGCCGAAAGAACAGGTGATCATCAGCACAAGCAGCCCAACCAGGTTGATCCACAGGGCGTTAATTGCCATTTGCTTTGTCTGGACGCTAAGGTATCGCTGGACCTACACGTGATAAATGTACGTGTGTGAGAGTTAATTCTAATTTCTTAAAGCTGATATAAGAACACAAAAATAATTGAGGAGATTTTACCAAATATATTGAAGGTTAGGTGTAATATTCACCAGACAACTCAGTGCAGGTAGCTACAAAAGTGACACGAGAATAAACGCTTCTACTAGGGCAACTAGTCAAGACTGTCTCTACATAAATAGGAATACTACATGCACTACATACCAGGCAATACCCGCAAGTTTACCAACACTTAAAATGAAGAAAACATACAGGTGTAGGGTAAGCTATTATGTGATACAACTCCACATAGAGACGAGCGTTTTCACAATAAAAGTTGGCCCAGCATCTGTGTCTTTTCTTTATCACTGTCAGCAGTATGATGCTGTATCCATTCAAAACAGGAATGAAAAGTTTACGCAGTTGATAAACTGGAAAACAGCAGTCCAGAGAAAAAGACATAGCATGATTTTATGCTATGGGTTTGGCATTAATGCTTCATTCATTGCTTTTAATTTGTCAGGGGTCACATGATGACTCGCTTACAATGTGTTGTTCTTCAAAAATTATACAGAAATTGTAATATATTTATTGCAAAAGTCTACTATTAAGTGTTAAGAGATTGTACCTGTGCCTGGTTGACGCCGTAAATGGTGATCCAGGTGAAATACCCGCCGATGATGAGCGTCCAGAAGGTATGTCTGGTGGTGGGATCAGGATCGAAGTCAATGAGCTGTGCCCGGCCACTCTCTGCATTCTTCTCCCACACGGCGTCGAATCCACCCACATCAACAGCACCCTTGATGATGACGAACATCATACTGGCATACATGATGAGTGTCTGCAAGAGGAAACACTAGCGTCAACAGCACCCTTGATTATTCTTTTAATTTAACAAAATTTGATGCATCACCAGTGTACTGCTACCCAATTCCACATGATTATTGTACAACGGGATCAAAGGCTATGATGAACATTTTATTGGTGAACATAACGAGTGTCTGTTGAAGGAGACACTAACGTCAACAGCGGTGGGGGATGGAACTCAGAGGAGCTCCGAGCTCAGTAACCCACGCTGTCATCAAAATACTGTTTGGTGACCAAACATAGCTGAGTGCTAGCGTACTCAGGTCACAAACTGAGGTCCGGGGATCGATCCCCGGTACGGCTGAAAGCATTAGAATGTGTTCCCTTAAGGCACCTGATGTCCATCAATAAAATAGGTATTTGGGTGTTAGTCGACTGGTGTTGGGTCGCATCCTGGAACAAAATTGACCTATGGTGATAATGGTATAAAATATCGACAAGCCGAAGATAAAAAAAAAAAAAGGCATGTGCAACAGCTGGGTATCTTTATTGATGAAACGTGTCACCTACACAGTAGGCTTCTTCAGTCAAATACAAAGGGAGCAGGTGTAGTAGCGAAATAAAGATGATGTAATCAGTCTATCAACCTTGGAGAAAAAGTATTTGAGGTGGTCAGTCCCTTAGCCTGGAGAAGAGTTCAGCTCCATGGTCTGGAACGATATGAAGTTGAAACATGAGAACGGAGTCTTAAATATTGTCGAAGATGAGGTGGAAGATCTCGAAGACGTTGCAGGGGAAGGGATTCATCAGCAGAAGTAAGACTGCAGGTCCCTCTGGCAGAGGGAAAAGTGGAAGATGTCCTCTGTACCAAGATACCGTTGTACTGCAATGTCTGACAGTTACGTTGAAAATTGTATAAAATACGAAAAGTTGAAGATTAGGACATGTGCATCAGTTGGGTATCTTTAGTGATGTAACGTTTCGCCTACACAGTAGGGTTCTTCATATCGTTCCAGACCATGGAAGTGAACTCCTCTTCAGGCTGAGGGACTGACCACCTCATACTTTTTCTAAAAGATTGATGGACTAATTACATCTTTACTTCACTACTACACCTGCTCCCTATGTATATGGCTGAAAAAGCCTACTGTGTAGGCGAAACATTTCATCAGTAAAGATACCCAACTGTTGTACACGTGTATTAATCTTCAAAATTGACCTAATTTGCCCGAAATGCTCTGCATAACAAGGGGCTTTCTATATAGCCTGTATATCTTGTACACGCACTTGTAGAAATAAATAACAATATAATATCTTTATTTATTACAAGTACATGTACAAGGTATACAGTCCTAGCTGACATCAATGACATAGTACTATATAGAAAGCCGCTCTTATGCACAGCATTTCGGGCAAATTAGGTCAGTTTTGTCGCAGGATGCGACCCACACCAGTCCACTAACACCCAGGTACCCATTTTACTATATGGGTGAACAGAGACAACCGGTGTAAGGAAACACGTCCGATGTTTCCACCCCTTCGCCGGGAATCGAACCCAGACCTTCACCGTGTGAAGCGAGAGCTTTTGCCACAAGGCCACGGTGCACCGTAAAGATATTATTATTATTAAGTAGAAAGACATTTACGTACAATTCAGAACATTTATTAGAGGAAACGTTCTTCTTGAGACTGAAGTCACTCGTGGCGAAACGTTTCCTCTAATAAATTTCCTGAATTGTACACAAGTGTCTTTCCACACATATATATTGCCTCTCTGCAAGAGGAAACATGTCATCACTATATATCGGGAAGTAAAATTTCGGTAAAGCGTCTGTCCTTCGCTTAGTAGACACAAATACACTTACACAGAAACTTTCTTGGCGAAAAGTGGTCCATAACGTTCCCTGCAACTGCACTAGTATGTTATCGTGCGGGCATTCCATAATAATGCTAACCCCTCTCGCTTAGCGAAAGAAGGACGAATTCACCCCTACGTGTGCTGATTGAACCCACAAAGAAAGGCGCTTCGTGTCACGCGTTTCTGATGTTAGCATATGGGTGATGAACATCCTACGTCTGCCATTAATGAAGGTAGTGACCCCATGAATCTTACATCAGACTATACGCACAACAATTTAGAAAACTGCACAGCAAGTGATCCACCTGTACAGAGTGGTTCATCGAAGTACATGACCCCCCTCGTGTGCACAAAAGTAAACCCTGTGTACACACAACTAATCCCATGTACAAACAAGTAATACACAATTAATTCACGCATAAATACAGAGAAAATAACGTATATACACAAAAGCGGCCCAGGTGTGCAGAAAAGTAAAGCAAAGCGTTCGTAACGTAATCTACGTGTACACAAAAAAACCCAAGTGTGAACAAAATTAAACCATGCATACACAAAAGAAACCCATGTATACAGAACCCACGTGTACCACAATAATTACGCACTTGTACACATTGTAACCCACGTTAGCTCCAGTTCTCCGAAATGGAGCTACCCAGCATCAAGGAACACCCCCTCAACCTTCATGAGCATCTGCTCGGGAAGGAGGGGAGGAGCATCCTCCTTGAATGAGGCTCCGCGTCAAGGGAAAACAACTATACTGAATTCAATGATGGTCTGTCTACCCCCTTGCAACGTCGTAGAAACCCTTTTCCTCCTCTGGAAATCCATGCCCATCCTCCTCCCTGAAGGGACAGTATAAGATCCAGACATCTCCGCCTCCCCTGTATAAAGAAAAACCCAACTGTAGAGATCGACAACCTGACGTGCAACACAGACCCACCTGGAGTGCGTCCGTCCAGAGGACTGCCTTCATGCCTCCCAACGTCGTGTAAAAGATGCACACAAAGCAGATGAGGCTGACGGAGATGTATACATCCAGCCCGGTGACCTGGGCCAGAGCGAGAGCTGGTGCGTACACCACGATGGCCATGTACAGCGACATCTGTATAATACATAGCTCGGCATTAAAAGGGTTATTATAAATATTAGAATGTGGATGTAGTCGGCTTAACAGATACTAAACTAGAAGTAGTATGATAATACTTAAGTGAATTTCAGTGTAGAACGTATAATACGCATGAAGAGGAAAGGAAATGTTAAACGCTTCCTAATTTAAATTTCACAATGTATAAAATATAATAATTTTGCGGTGGAAATTCATAGGGAAAAAATACTATTCGATGAATATAACGCAATGAATAAAAAAAACATGGACCAGAAAGCAATCTTTGTCAATGTATATAAGCCACCGTAACAGTGCATGGTTAGAGGCATATGACATACTAAATAAAGCCGATGAGATGAAAATACCGTGAAAAAGATTTTAACTAGAGATACAGAATGGATGACCAGCGAGGTTAGAGGTAATAAAGTGTGGTCAGCAAAAGTCACAATTTTAATGGTGGCATTATTTCTGAACCAAATATTAAGAAGTCTCAATGGAGAGGGGGCAACATGCTTTCTACGTTTGTTATAGTATTTAATAGAAAAAAAATAAAATATGTATTTAAAGAAACATTTAAAGCTAACAGAAAAAAATCATGTACTATTACAGATAACTTGTGCAGTTAGATGATGACTATGAACTTTTATGATCTCCCCTATGTAAGGGTATTACTGTTTCCACACAGTCACCCATCTAGTTACTGGCTACAGTTTAAATGCAGCATCCACATCCTTCTATTATAATTTCGACTTAATACAATATTTTAGAACAGGAAATTGTAATTAAATATACAAGGATTTACTAACGTACAAGATATTTTTCAGAAAGCACTTACGAAAGAAAGAAAAACATGACAAAGGAAAGTATGTAACTACTAACAATGAGTTCAGTGTCCCTCAACAAAATTGATTAAAACGAGGTAGAAAATAATACTGTATACTATGAGCGAAGAGAGAGAGAGAGAGAGAGAGAGAGATATTATTATTATTATAATCAAGAGGGAAGCGCTAAACCCGTAGGATTATACAGCGCCCAGGGGAGGATGTGGAAGGCATTCAGGCTTAATTCGGGGAACTGGAGCACAGATCCAATTCCCTAAATCAAGAGCCCCTCACCAACATCAAGGAACCTTCCATGAAGGGAGAGAGAGAGAGAGAGAGAGAGAGAGAGAGCTATTCAGTTACTGAATAACAACCCACCTGGATAATGAAGACGCAGGATCCCAGCCATCTCACTGCCCTGTGGAAGCGTCTCTCCAGGTACTCATACGCTGAGGTAACCTGCAACACAAACTTAATATCAACTGCAGAAAAAGAATTTTTTGCGACCTTTTTTTTTTCCAAGCGGTTACTAGCCACTTATTTTTTATCTAGCTGCCTAACTTACCTTCCTTGAAATACAGTAAAAATTACATCTCGCCTGTTAAGCAATTACCTCTAAAATGCACATGACAAGACTACAGTATAACCTAGGATGAGTATCACCACAGACAATTTTCTAATTAAGCTTATCAATGATTACGGCCAAAATCAACATTTGTATATAACGTTAAACGAGCAGAAACGAAGGAATTGGAACTTTCTTATTACAAGAGACAGATGTTACATACCTGGAGCTTATAAAAGACTGGAAAGTAGAGATGGGCAGCGGCTGGCATCACCAGGATGTAGGAGAAGCCTATAAGCCAGTATATGAATCCAAACTGATAGACCTCAGACGGCGTCCCCAGCAGTGTTATGGCAGACATGAAGCTGAAAAAAAGTAATATATTTAGAAAAACTTCAGAATAACCTGGCTGGAAAAAATAATTACTTGCATACTGACAATAAAAACTGGATCACGCCTCGGTCCATTCCCTTGATTTTTCTCGCGACTAGTATCCTCGTACTCGCCTATTTGTGGTTGCAGGGGTCGAGTCTTAGCTCCTGGCCCCGCCTCTTCACCGGTTGCTACTGAGTCCTCTCTCTCTCTCCCCGCTCCATGAGCTTTATCAAACCTCGTCTTAAAACTATGTATGGTTCCTGCCTCCACTACATCACTTTCTAGACTATTCCACTGCCTGACAACTCTATGACTGAAGAAATACTTCCTAATATCTCTCTGACTCATCTGTGTCTTCAACTTCCAATTGTGACCTCTTGTTTCTGTGTCCCCTTCCTGGAACATCCTGTCTTTGTCCACCTTGTCTATTCCGCGCAGTATTTTATATGTCGTTATCATGTCTCCCCTAACCCTCCTGTCCTCTAGTATCGTCAGGCCGATTTCCCTTAATTAACCTTTCTTCATAAGACATTCCCCTTAGCTCTGGAACTAACCTTGTCGCAAACCTTTGCACTTTCTCTAGTTTCTTGACGTGCTTTATCAAGTGCGGGTTCCAAACAGGTGCTGCATACTCCAGTATGGGCCTGACGTACACGGTGTACAGTGTCTTGAACGATTCTTTACTAAGGTATCGGAACGCTGTTCTCAGGTTTGCCAGGCGCACATATGCTGCAGCATATGTGTGCTTGGTACGGTGATAACAATTTATATTTGCTATACAAACAAATTCATATTTATTGAAAAGTTGTAACAAGCTATCGTTACCATCTATACTACAGAGACAGTAACGACAGCCCCATACAACTATATTACGTTGCTAGGTATGTCTGGTACAAGTTAGATGTAATGGAATATTTGTGTAATTTCTACAGGTTAATCTTGTTACTGTTAAGTTATATTTTCGGTATATTATTTCTTGTTTTATATATATATATATATATATATATATATATATATATATATATAATATATATATATATATATATATATATACTGTTAACTTGGCCTTATTTCTGCCATCTTACGTTTTCCTTTTCAATTCTTTGGTATTTATTCTATTTCAAGGTAAGTTTGAAATCAACTTCGTAAACGTAGATAATTTTTCACTAACATTTATAGTTCAGTTAACATGACCTCATCAATGCCATTTTTAACTTCATTTTATTGTAGCTGAATATCAAATATTTTAATTCATATTTGTTTACAACTTTTGTATTCTTTTTTTTCTTCGACAGATTCTGAGTATGTACTAAGCCAACTGCGAAACACACAACAGCATCCCAGACTTTCCATTATCAACATAGTGGTGCTACATAGCAGCATCCCTGGCACTAATTTCTCATCTCATTGAATTTAATATAGCCTCATGGAGGGGCGAAAAGTGTCCATAATAAAAACTTACCTTTAATACTTGTGTTAACTCTCTCAGGAAAACAACCATCTGATATAATATATATATATATATATATATATATTATATATTATATTATATATATACACATTGACCGAAGCTTAAGACTGGTATACTAACAAAAGCTTTATTATTAATAAATCTATATTTGCAGTACAGTTGTGTAAGTCTCCTGTCTCTACAACAGCAACTGTCCCAGTCTTTTTCAGACCATTGTCATATATGCTAATCTACGTCTTTAAAAAGAGCTGGTAGAAAATTTACTTAACCATTGTTTGTTTGTTTGTTTCTCTCTATCTCTCTCTCTCTCTAGTAAGTCCCTCATGGTAAGAATTTATCCGCTTTATTTTTTTTTTTTTTTAGATTCGCCGGTATTCTCCCGGCCCGGGCCTTTTCCAAGTGGTGGCCCGGCCTTGGCTCCCTGTCTAGGGAGTGTTTGAGACCAAAGTCTTCCCTGGGAGTAGGCACAAGTACCCCCTCATCGTTGGGACCAACTGTCCCCAGGCCTAGCCACATTCCCCGCCCTTACGGGGCTCGTAGGGAGAAGCTAGGCCTCTCTGGTCTGTCATCCCCGCCCCAAGGAGGCTAATGGGAATGACAGTCTTGTGAGCTACAAGCTGTGGCGCAGGCACCTACCCTATCCTAGAAGGGCTGGGCATAGTGTCGATCATCCGCTTTAGTTTTTAGATTTAATAACTCTTTTCTCTGTTTCTGAGTTTTGCACTCTCACACTAATATACTTAAAATGTGAAATAGACAAGATTGGGACCGTTTATTTTTTATATATATTACGTACTTCATATTTTCAAACTTATCAAATAAATATCACTTCTATGCTAAGTACATCATTCTATTTGCTCTGTACAAGACGGCTTATCGTAGACCCGGCTTATTATCTTAACTGGCTGGTTACATATTTGACGCACCTCTGACCTATACAGGTTTAACGCGTAATGATATACACATACAGACTAAATTTACTAACATACCTCTCCCTAGCACTTATAAACGAAGGCTTATTTTCTCCTCATAATGGTGTGGATGAGGTTATCCTCAGTTGTTCAGTCAGAAATTAGGCGAGGATCGTCATGGGCAAGACCTCGCCCAAGAACCTAGACATTCCACCTGTTTCCTGTTCCCAGTATGGTAGAGTAAAACTAATGTCCATTGTGTCTCTTCCACGAATGTCCTCTAAACACAATGTCATATTCAATTTAGAAAGTTCTCTTCCTTTGAAATGTGTTTTCTAGGGTTCAACACAGTATGTATGTTCTAGACGATTTATAGTTGTACAAGTCGTTTTTCGATTGTCAGGATTAGAGTTAGGTTATTATGAATAAATCTGTTGTTGCCAAATAATTAATGGTAGCAGTAGTAAGTGGGAGCATTCAGGATACGCTCAATAAGTGGGAATATTAGGAAAAGCTCAGTGGGAGCATTCTAAATACGCCCAATAAGTGGGAGCATTCTAAATACGCCCAATAAGTGGGAGCATTCTAAATACGCCCAATAAATTGGAGCATTCAGGATACGCTCAGTTAGGAGCATACAGGATACACTCAGTAAGTACGAGCATTCAGGATATACTCAGCAACTTACATTTCTAGTCTAGCTTTACCTTGGCTGAACCACAAAACCTCTTATCAGTTTTTCTGATATGAGGTTTTCTTAACTTAACACCAGTTGCCACATATTCCAGTCATGAAATTAACAGACCAACCACACTAATACAAAAACTTCTCTTCTGCTTATCTAATCAGGGCTGTGGAATCGGAGTCGGAAGCAATTCTTCGGTTACTGGAGTCGGTGTCGGTAAAATGTAATTAAAGGAGTCGGAGTCGAAGGTTTAATGTGCCAACTCCACAGCTCTGCTTCTTTTGGTTACCTGCTGGATCATAGCTAGTTTTTGTTTCTGATCTGCCCCATTAAAATGGTTAACGTATGTAGGTGTTCATATCCCTGACACGTACAACCAAATAAGTTTAACCATGCCATTGGTAGATTATATAAACCCTGAGGCTTCACACACCAGTTATATGATTCCTACACAAATACTGACACTATCGCAAACTAGTAGGCTACTAGGCAAAACTGAAAAATATGAAGTTTCAGAGCTTTCATTAATAACGTACCAACAATACCGTAGGAACCCAGTAATATGTCTAGATCACTTACCAAATGCACACATGTATCAAAGTGATCACTAAATCCAGCAATTGATCAAACCCTGTAATATTTATCTCCAGCTAGTTTGAAGTTACATCCGGGCAAACTACAGCTATAGGGGCATGACAAGTCTGAGAAGAGAGGTGCATTTACCTGGCAATGAGAGACATAGCCACGGGGAAGGTGGTCATAGACTTGCCAGCCATGAGGAACTCTTTGGTGTCTTGCTTCTTGCCGAAGCACCCGTAGAAGATACCTATGACGGCTGACACCGCCAGCATGAGACAGAACACTAAGTAGTCGATCCAGGTGAAACGATCCACCAGGATGTCCACATTCGAACTCATCTTGAAGCGAGGAAGATAAACCAAGCGGTTGAAAGTTGTTTTAGTAGTAGAGAAGGTGTGTGTGAAGGCTGAAGCTGAGGTAGTAGTGAAAGTGGTCCTAGAGGGAAGTGGAAGTTTCTGTACTTCAGGGAAGTTGAGTGGCAAAATGAAGACTTGCAAACAGTGGTTCTATCACACCTGGAAAGAAAAAACAATAAGATTAGAATACTGAGCTTCACAAAAAAAAAAAATTATGCATTTTTTTAAATTATAATCTGGGAATCTCATCCCAATTTTTCTTTCAAATATTTTTTTTGTTTTTTTACAAATTCTTATTACAGATCAGATTCTTTAATTTTGCAAGTACTTTCATTGAAAAAAATATGTTAAATCTTGTAAACACTTAACATTAACTGCTGCTCCCAGTCACTAACGCATTATCATCTTACTGCTGGAATTAACTGAAACATAATCAAACTACTAACACTGTCAATTATATGTACTTACGTATTATTTATTCGCAATAATTTACTTTCATATAGTTTTTCTAAGTAAACAAAACATTTGTATACCCCGCCTTTACAGTGTCCCGTAGCTCGATCGCTATCGCACTCTGTCCACACACTGAGGTCCTAAGTTCAAATCCCCGGTACGGCTGGAAAACATTAGGACGTGTTTCTATAAGGCACCTGTTGTCCATGTTCACCCATCAGTATAAAATGGATACCTGGGTGTTAGTAGACTGGTGTGGGTCGCATCCCAGGACAAAATTTATCTAATTTACATAAAATGCTCTGCATAACAAGGGGCTTTCTATATAGTAGTATGTCACTGATTTTAGCTAGGCCTATATACCTTGTACATGTACTTGTAGAAATAAAGATATTATTATTACTTTTTTTTGCTGCTTCCATTATTTGTTTGATAATATTCAGGGTATATACACTGAAAGGTGTGTGTCTTAGTGTATATAGTTTACTTAATCCCTAATTTAGGTATCAAATTATGTTAGTTCTCGGGTCAAATGTAGACATAATGACTCGTATGCAGATCACAGGTTTTAAACCTAACTTGGTTGTTATATCTATTTGGTCTTGTTTTAACCCAAGAGCTGGAGTTCAATCATCACTTCCGCAGGTGAATGTACACAGGACAAACTTAGCAAATAAATATTTGCATATAATTTTAGAATATAGACTGAACACATGACACAAGGAAAAAAAGATGATTTTTTTTATTTGTATTAAAAAACTTTTGAGAAGGTCCCTCCTAAAAGTGCACTAAAAAAAATTGTGAATTGTTGCAGCCATGGTGTTGTGAATTATTCATGAATACGTACATGAAATATCCTAGTCTAGGATATTTACATTCTATCTAGCGCCTCAAGCACCTGACATGGCGCACTTTCTAAGAAGGTCATATGCTAACTTCGCCCCCGACCTAGTATTATCAACATAAGGAAATCCTAAGATCGAAGGTGTAATACAACGCTTAGGAAATGGAAGGCAATCAAGTTTGATTCAATTATCGGGAGGGTAGCTCCAGTTCCTTATACCAAGAACCCTTCACCGCCCTCGAAACACCTTCCTACACCTCCTCTCCTTGAAAAGGACCTCGCCTTCAACCTTCACTAAACAATGGCTAAACATTTCCTGGCCAGCGTCTAGTTTGGAGTTATCCGTTCTCGTATAATTCAGATTCACGTAGTTTACATAACAAATTTCCTCTTCCACGTTAATATTTTTTCCCCTGTTGAAACCCAGATAAAACAAAACCACATGCCCACCCCAACACTCCTCTCCACTCATGCCCACCCCAACACTCCTCTCCACTCATGCCCACCCCAACACTCCTCTCCACTCATGCCCACCCCAACACTCCTCTCCACTCATGCCCACCCCAACACTCCTCTCCACTCATGCCCACCCCAACACTCCTCTCCACTCATGCCCACCCCAACACTCCTCTCCACTCATGCCCACCCCAACACTCCTCTCCACTCATGCCCACCCCAACACTCCTCTCCACTCATAGCCACCCCAACACTCCTCTCCACTCATGCCACCCCACACTCCTCTCCACTCTAGCCCACCCAACACTCCTCTCCACTCATGCCCACCCCAACACTCCTCTCCACTCATGCCCACCCCAACACTCCTCTCCACTCATGCCACCCCAACACTCCTCTCCACTCATGCCCCCCCAACACTCCTCTCCACTCATGCCCACCCCAACACTCCTCTCCACTCATGCCCACCCCAACACTCCTCTCCACTCATGCCCACCCCAACACTCCTCTCCACTCATGCTCCACCCAACACTCCTCTCCACTCATGCCCACCCCAACACTCCTCTCCACTCATGCCCACCCCAACACTCCTCTCCAACTCATGCCCACCCCAACACTCCTCTCCACCTCATGCCCACCCCAACACTCCTCTCCACTCATGCCCACCCAACACTCCTCTCCACTCATGCCCACCCCAACACTCCTCTCCACTCATGCCCACCCCAACACTCCTCTCCACTCATGCCCACCCCAACACTCCTCTCCACCTCATGCCCACCCAACACTCCTCTCCACTCATGCCCACCCCAACACTCCTCTCCACTCATGCCACCCCCAACACTCCTCTCCACTCATGCCCACCCCAACATCTCTCCTCTCCCACCCAACACTCCTCCACTCATGCCCACCCCAACACTCCTCTCCACTCATGCCCACCCCAACACTCCTCTCCACTCATGCCCACCCCAACACTCCTCTCCACTCATGCCCACCCAACACTCCTCTCCACTCATGCCCACCCCAACACTCCTCTCCACTCATGCCCACCCCAACACTCCTCTCCACTCATCCCACCCCAACACTCCTCTCCACTCATGCCCACCCCAACACTCCTCTCCACTCATCCCACCCAACACTCCTCTCCACTCATGCCCACCCCAACACTCCTCTCCACCTCATACCCACCCCAAACACTCCTCTCCACTCAAGCCCACCCCAACACTCCTCTCCACTCATGCCCACCCCAAAAACTCCTCTCCACTCATACCCACCCCAACACTCCTCTCCACTCATGCCCACCCCAACACTCCTCTCCATTCATGCCCACCCCAACACTCCTCTCCACTCATACCACCCAACACTCCTCTCCACCAATCCCACCCCAACACTCCTCTCCACTCGTGCCCACCCCAACACTCCTCTCCACTCATACCCACCCCAACACTCTCTCCATCATGTCCAACTCCAACACATCTTCATTATCCACACCCCAACATCTCTCCACTCTTCCACACAACATCCTCCTCATATTTATACCATGGAAACTGGTTCCACTCATACCACCCCGAACACTCCTCTTCATCATGACAGAACTCCTCTCACTCATTGTTCACAGCCAACACTCCTCTCATCATGCACATCAACAGTCCTTCCATTCAAGCACCAGACACTTCTTTTCATCAATACCCAGCACGTCTCTTCATCAAATAATTCGCAACCCAACATTCCCTATACTCATAGACGACACCAAATCACTCTCCACTTTATACCCACCAAGATCCTCTCCCATACCCACCGATCTCTTACCTACCCCCCACACTCTCTCCCACTCATACCACCCCACACTCCTCTCCACTCGTACCCCCCCCAACACTCCTCTCCACTCATGCCCACCCCAACACTCCTCTCCACTCGTACCCACCCCAACACTCCTCTCCACCCATACCCACTCCAGCACTCCTCTCCACCCATACCCACCCCAGCACTCCTCTCCACTCGTACCCACCCCAACACTCCTCTCCACTCGTACCCACCCCAACACTCCTCTCCACTCGTACCCACCCCAACACTCCTCTCACTCGTACCCACCCCAACACCCTCTCCACTCGTACCACCCCAACACTCCTCTCCACTCGTACCCACCCCAACACTCCTCTCCACTCGTACCCACCCCAACACTCCTCTCCACTCGTACCCACCCCAACACTTATACCCACTGTAAAGTATATTTAATATATAATTATTCACAGTATATAGTAAGTATATGAAATTTAAAGAAATATCCGCAGCTACATATTTTATATATTGGATATTAACTTGGTGTATATACACCTGGAGGAGTACATAACTCTCATTGTATACAGGAGTTGACAGACGAATCCATGGCTATTTTTGTTCAACGAGCAGTGGGTGGGGCCAGAATATTATCAATGTGGACATGAACAGGGCCAGTTCAAGGGTAAGATTTTTTTTTTTTTTTTTTTTTATTCGAGATTACGTAGACGTTCATGATCATGAAATTGAAATTCGTAAATTAAATATTCCCTATTACATATAGACGGACAAAAATAACACTAAAACCTTTATTGAAAATGTCACAGTTTTTGTCTTAAACTTATTTTTCGTCTTTTTTCCTCTCATCGTTATGGCAATCACATAATAAAAAGAACCACAATGGATCACTTTGATAAAGTACTCAAGACTGGTGACTTTCACTTGGAAGTCTGACTGACGTGTTTCCGAACACAGCCGCCGGAGGGAGACAAATGTTTCCTATTTTGCAAGCTGGGTAAGAAAAAAGTTTGTCCTACATGGCAAGTGAATTAAAAACAAGTTTGATAAACATATTGATGAGAAGGGTTGGGTTTGCGAAAGACCTGGCTAACACAGGCTACTGCAGTGACCCTTCTATTATGTATAAAAATTGTTAATAATGCTGACAATGGTTAGATAAATGGACAAAACAAAAAGCCTATTGTGTGAAACGTTGCCTTACTCAATGTGATTAAGTAGAGTATGTATATATTTACCTTCATTCTTATAACCTAACCTTGTACCTAGTTCAGCCATCAAAACTTTGGAGCCCGGTCCCTGGACCCATTGTGTACCTCTGTAATCTGTAAATACCTTTGTAACTTGTCATGATTGTGACTAGACCTACCTGGAGTTCATTACCTTTGTAAATTGTGAGTTCATTACCTTTGTAAATTGTGAATTCATTACCTCTGTAACTTGCTCAGCTATCAAAACTTTGAGGCCCAGTCCCTGGACCCATTATGTACCTCTGTAATCTTTTGACTACCGCCCACAGGATGGGTATGGGGTGCATAATAAACATATTAAACTAACTAACATTCTTATAACCTGAACCTCCTCTCCCCCCCAAAAAAACCTCTCCCTCCTGCAACAT